TTACGAATGGAACAAGCTCTGTCAGAAATATTGCTACAAAACCTGAATATGGAATAAACTTTGGAACTTAATTCATGTTACAGATTATCTTAAAGGCCCACCTGTGGCCAAGCGGCCTTCGTACCCTGAACACTGAGAGTTCGGTCGTGGGTTCGCGCCTCGCTCGGACGGGGTTGGCCACGTGGAGTTTTCCGGGTTTTCTCCACGTCTGTAACGCCTAAATAGGGGCCAGTTTCCCTTAAAAAGATCTCCCGGAAGGCGTCGCCCAAGTGTTGCGTTGCTCATAACTTCACAAACAAACAGATCATCTTAAGTACGCCAAAAGAAAGTCGAAGCCAAAACTTACAGACAAGCACAAGGCTGTCAGACTGAATGGGCCAGAAATCAAATGACCTGAAAAGAACAGCAGAAGAATATAGTGTGGTCAGATGAGAGAAAGTTCAATTTAGATGGGCCTAGTGGTTGCTTACTATTGGCATGATTTAAGAAAAGAGAGAGAAATCTACTCCAAATGAGTGTGGGGTTCCATGATAGTTTGGAGTGCGAGGAAAAACAAACATTGCTTTTGCTGAAGGAAGGCAAAATGATAAAGGATACATCCAGCAGTAGAAATACATCTACTCTCCCTTGAAGAAAGACGAGGGGATCTTGAGTGGCAGTACCAGCAAGATAACGCCCCCATCCATACCACCAACATTACCTGGGAATTGTTTCTGAACAACAGGATTCAAGTCATGAATTGGTCAATCATGTTACCGGATTTGAGCCTTATGGAGAATGTCTGGAGACTTCTAGTCAAGTCAATCTATGCAAATGAAAAGCAGTATGATGCAATATCGAGTCGATGACGAACAGTTTTTAAAGTAATCATAAAAACGGGCATTATGGTTATTAGCTTTTAATTAGAATCGTAACTGTTAGCGTTCAAGTGTGTCTTTACGAAAGAAATAAGTGACAACAATCGGACAGTAATAGCTTCTACAACTTTTAAGTTATTCATAAAATGTTGAATGTTCTTATGTTTATTCAACGCGCTTTATATACAAGTTCGCAAAATCTATGTTAATCTAACAATATTGATTTTAAATAGATCAAGACAGAAAAAAATAAGTATTTTTTTGAACCAAAATCTCCTAATACTGTGATTATTGAGAAAGAATTTCTGCGAGATTGTGAATTACGTTAATGGGGGATGATTGTTAATAAACGAATGTAACTTAAATCCGATTTCACCATATTGATAGGAAAAGCGTTTACAGAACTATATATAACCAGTTTGTAGTGAGGTATAGGCTTAAATACAGCAATTATAACACAAGAAATTTCAGAAATGACTAAAACAATTTCTCAATAATGATGTTGTTAATGTCAAATTTTGCTTCAGTTAAAATGCATGCTTAACATTTTAGGTTATTAGTTAATTTCCGAATGAGAGAATCGGGAAGTGACCATAAGTCAATATCTAGCAACACCATAAGCCAATGGATATGAGCAATTATTACTTGTTATATCGTCACAATGCCGGGCTGCAATTTTTAATCATATTTTTTTAATTTATTTAATTTAAAATATATGCTCTCCACCTCAAATTAGTAGTCTTGCCCCTTTACATCATGCTTTTCCTGTTAGCAATGAAGTGATGCCGGTCATCTATCTAACTCCTTTTAAGGGAAAAGTTTTGAATTAAAGTAAATGTTTATTTTCTTTCAATTGTATCAGATCATCGTAATCATTTTTCACTGCCTTTCTTTATAAACACTCATGCTTTATCATATATAATGGAACAAGTGCAGTGTAGACTACTCCTTAATCATGCTTTTTTGTTTAGAAGAAACAAAATTAAAAATATATTTGGTAAACTTAAATAAACTAATAATTTCAACACATTTTTTTCTCTATAAGAAAATAAATTTAGGTTGGAATCGTCGCGTATAGAAATGCAGTATTCATTTTTTTTCAAACTTCTACAATTATTAAATATAAAATTATTGTTCTGCATTAGCCCCAGTTATGTTTTATTTCCATTAAAAAAAAATCATTTGGTTTTAAAATCTACAGCGTTAGCCTAATTTTCAGTTTTTATATCGAAAAACAGTTGTAAGAATTGTCTTTATTGGCATGTTGTGAAGATACATAAGCCAATAACGCATTTATAAATGGGCTCTCAGGTCCAAATTTTTAAACTATTACCTTATTAGTGAATGTGTTAATAATAAATTATTAACTGAATAAATTAAACTTATCAAATACATTGAAGAAGTAGTTCGAGTTATAATATAGTAATACAATCTACAGCAATGTCAATGTTTTGTAAATTTCAATGTACTGTACAGTTTATGGAACCTGGGACGGAGAGGTGCCAAAGTTTCCTGGATTTAGGACTCCTACAATCCTAAATTCAGGACTGCACTAAGATATATGTAAGACTTAAATATTCAAAAATCAATAAACTTTTGAGCCTTTCGTCTGCTTGTTTGGTTGAAGTACTGCTCTTTTTTTTTATACATTTGGCATCATTCTTTAGAATTTCTCATAGAAAAACTGGTGCTAATACAAGCAATTATTTATTATGACATCTGACGTCGTCACAATACGTAAGAATATTAATCATATTCTTAATTTATTCAATTTAAAATATGTTCTCCGTCTCAAATTAGTAGTGTATTGCCCCTGTACATCACACTTTTCTTGATATAAACAGAGTCATGCCGGTCATCTATATAACTCCATTCAGAAGAAAATGTTTGAATTGAATCTACGTGACTTCCGGCCTATTCCGGAAGTTCGTATATAGTTAATCGGAGCCTCTTGCCCTAATATTTTTACATATGGTCTTAACTTGTATCTATCTAACACCGTTCTCTAGATTACAGAAAGATAGACGGACAGACAAACATAAAGACGACGGTGGGAGTTTATACATCTATAATTTTTTCAAATTACAACCCAATAAAAATGCGCCCAGCCAATAAGCAAAACTAATGTGTTTAAATGTATATCTTCACTTTTAAATTGTATTAACGATAAGATAAATTTTATATAAATTTTTGTTTTAATTCTATCAAAAATGTTAATTTTTTTATATACTTTAAAACTTAAAAAATACTTAAATTAAATGTGTTTTTTTCAATTAAAATTCATAATAGTTACCATAGATTTATTATTATTTTTTTAAATTAGGATAATAATCATTGATATACTCCATTGAGTTTTAATTTATTTTATTTCTGTTAAATATATTACAGACAAAAGAAATACATCAAAGATCTGGCCTATAAAATTTTATTGAGTTTTTCAATCTAAAAAGTGTTATAATAACGTAAAATATATTTAAAAAACGAAACAATTTACGATACCATAAAAATAAGAAAATGTTAGTACCCCTATAACACTGTTGATTATTCCGTTTTATATGAATTCCATGTTGTACGAGTCACTTAAATTTTACAAATACGTGTGCCAGGCTGTGAACGGCTCATGTATTTGTAAAATCTAAGTGACTCGTACAACATGGAATTCATATAAAACGGAATTATCAACAGTGTTATAGGGGGGTCAACTTGTATACTATTAACAAGTTAAACATTATTGTGTGAATATAAGACTAATTTTCCGACAGTAATGTATGTTAAAAAGAAGATAAAAAATGTTCTTTAGTTATTTCTTAATAAAAATACAAATTTAAATTAAGCATCGGTTAATAAATAAGCAACAGAACTATTAGATTTATATAATATATCAATGTAATTAAAGATAAATATGAGTTTAATTGTGCTCTCATAAACCTTTTATTATCCAAATTAATATATACATTTATATAATAATAAAGGAAAGGGGCGTTGCTACACGTCTATTGGTTAAAGGAAATTAATTTTTAAATATATCTAACCAATTAAAACAATCTTCTTAGGTATATTCATTAATATTAAGCTAAGTTAAATTTAAACGCTTTAATAAGTTGTAATTATTTTTGTAACTTTAAAATATTTTTTTTTCTTCTAAGTTTAAATTAAAAAAAAAAGAAATAATTAATCTGAAAATAAACAAAATTTTCTGGTTATCTCTTAATAGTGACTTAAGAAAAAAGTTTAGTTTTTATATCAGTGTATCGACACTATATCAAATTTTCGTGTTCATTGAACTCTAATGCATTAACTAATTCAGAATGCATCGTGACACTTAAATGTCAAGAAAATTAGCAAGAAAAACTTTTCATTCTTTCATAAATTCTCTTAACAGTCAAAAGCACGTATCCATCAAAACTGTCATCGTTTAAAATTATCAATCGAAAGAAAAAGTGTAACATTTCTAAATAAAAACTTAACTAACATCAAATTAAACACAATACAAATGACTTATTTAATTAAACAGAGTTATTTCCTTAATAAAACACGTTGAAAATTATTTGGGATGAGCACTTCTGTCACATATTATTGTGTTTAGTTAAAACAAAATTGTCAAGATGTAATCTACGTAGTTAAGTACACTTGATGTATCTGTCTTCTATCGACTTGTCAACAGAATTGACAGTTCTGTCTTCAATTGACTCTAACCAGAATTCTTTCCAAATAAACAAGTCTCCAACAATTGACTCCGATGCTATCTAACGCACCAGTAAGCACAATATTCTCCTTTCGAACGATAAAATTTAAACGATATCGATCACGCCCACAAATAATTTTAAAACTATTTAACGAGAATTTTTTATTTCTTTTTTTTTAATAAATAAATAAACTGTCAAAAATCAACTGCATAAATTAAATTTATTATTAATTAACACGTCAATCATATATTCTCCGCCTTTAGAAATGTTACGTGATCTGATTGGATGAAATTAAATATGGGTGTGTCTAATTTGTAAGAAGGTGTGGTTAAGAGAGTTTCGCTTGTAGGCGTGGTTAAGCGATAGGTTGTCCTCTTTTTTTTTTATTTACTTTTTTTATAGTTCAAAAATTCAAAAGATTTTGTGTATTTGATACGTTGATGCAGAGTTTAGATCAATGGATCCTTTCGGTGAAAATAATTATTTTCAAGAAATGGCTATCGATTCTGTAATGTGTAATTCTCAGTGGTCGTTTAGACATGTTAATAACGAATCACAAAATCCAGTGATTGATATTGATAAAACTACTTTGCAGGACGTAAAACCAAGAGGTAACAATTACCAACAATCTTACGGATTTTATTTTATCGTAATCAATTGAAAATAATCTTAAATACTTTATTTATTTATTTTCTATAATCGATATTTATTATTTTAAAATGATATTAACGAATTCGTATTGTTTATTTGTAAGAATGTGCAGAAATTAATTCGAATAGAAAAGAGAGGAAAAGACAAAGAAGGCAAAGGACACATTTTACAAGCAGACAATTACAAGAATTGGAAGCAACATTTGCTAGAAATCGTTATCCAGATATGTCTACTAGAGAAGAATTGGCTGTTTGGACTAATTTAACTGAAGCAAGAGTTCGTGTAAGTCGTATAATTTCAACTTAATTATTATTAAAACGTTAATGTTTCTAAACTCTTCTGTAATAATTATTTTAAAAATATAAATTTATTCGTAATCTTCGAAATTATATAGAATTATGATTATAAACTCCATCAAATTTGTTTTTTTTTTTTTAACAAAATACAAATGCATAAGATAAACAAGTCTACGACTTTTCTAAGTTCTGTAATTTTTACAAAAGAAAAATCTTTTAGGTTTTTGAAAATTATATTAGGCTTGTATGTAAAAAAATGCTTAAATATTTATTAATAATTCATTATGCTAATTTAAAATAGGTTGCATAGTTAAACTACCATTTTGTAAATAGATACGAAATTTAATACATTTTAAAGATGAAAATTAAGCTTTAAAACAAATTAATTTGTAATTTAATCATTTAAAAATTAATTTACTTGCTATTTAAATGTTTATAAAACTTTTAAAATAAAATTATTTGTAACTTCAAGTAGGACTTTATAAATTTGTGTTATTCATTAATTAAATAGACTAATTAAATAGACTTTATAGTTTATTTTTAATCGTTTTAAATATATAAATTATAAATTTTATTTTAAAGTTTATTAATNCAAAGTCCTTTTCATCATGTTACTTTCGACCTGTCTCTTCCCATCGTAGTATATCGTTAAATTTTAAATTAGTTTAAATTATTTTTATGCATATAATTTTGTAGAATAGAATTTTTATAATTATCTGATTAGAAAATATAACAATTTTAAGCACAAAGTACTTATTAATAGTTAATGTTCAGCCATAACACCGTAAAGTGTCTCTAAGGGAATTTTGGTAATGGGTCAAAACTGCATATTAATTCGTTGCTGTTACGTACATTCCAATGTTAATTTTATGGATTTTATTAAGCTGATAATAAACAACGAAACGAATGAAAAGCTGGCGTATAAAATTAAGAAAATGGGCGAACTATTTGAGGTGTATTATGAACATAATCGTAATTTAAATGTTGTTATAGAAGTTAAAATATTTTATACATTCTAACAATTTATTTAGTCATAAAAACTCTCCCAATAATCTTTTAGTTTATATATCTTAGATAATAAAATATGAATAAGTAAATTTATTTATTTTCGTTATAAAATTAAAAAAATAACTCAAATTTTATTGAAGAAAACTCCAACAATTTATTTTATCTCATTTTATATTTATAAATATAAAATGCTGAATTAACCATTACAATATGTACCGTACAGTACATAAATAAGTAGAATAAATTTTAAATAGTTTAATTTAAATCCTAAATTTTTATAGGCAATAAAGTACTGTACTTTCTTTTATTACTTTAAAGTATGATTGTAAAGTACAGTAATAATGATTGAATTCGATAGTTTTTAAGAGTATAATAAAGAACTTATTTAATTAACAGTAATTATAGTTTAAGAGTAAATCCTACAATAATTTAAACAGAAATACTGTACAGTACATTCCATACAATCATGTATATAGTTTACATAACGTTAGGAATATATACAAAAAAATGAGTAATCAAATGCGAATTTTCACCTCGGGTCAAAAACACTATATCAAGAGGGGGAGAAAGAAATCTCTTGCATCTTTAATTCTGAAAAAAAAAATATATATATATAATTTTACAGGCCAAACGTCATTTAAAATGCGAAATGTGTCGGCCATCTCCCATCTGGTTTAGAAAACTTTATATTTGAGCGCGCCATTCCATCCATCCCCATTTATGTCTGGCACTTCTTTCAGATTGCGGTGTTGGGTGTATGTAAATGACGTCACATAAATGACCGATCGGGGACGTCGTTCCGAACCAGACTCTGTGCAACCTAAATGAAATATTTATACATCTACCCGCTTCGCGATACATTTTAATTACGAGATTCTTTCCTCTTCCTTCTCTCGTTGAACGTATAAACTCATGATTTGTCCCGGATGAAATTTTGATAAAAATTTATTATTCTAACACTTTAATACGAATATGAATATTTTATTAGATAGAGTACGTCGTAACGATCGCGTAAACCAATTTTATTAGATCGTAAAACAACCACCAGAGGGCTACTCCTTTATGACGTCATTGTTGAGTTAAAATCGTTTTTTTTTTTTAAATGAAAAAAAATTTTTATTTACAATGAAATAAATAATACAAAAAAAAAGAGATAACTTTTAACTTTTATTTCGAAACAAAAGTTATATTTTTAAACTTCTTTTTTTTCTGTTTCTAGATCTGGTTCAAAAACAGAAGAGCAAAGTATAGGAAGCGTGAAAAAGGAAACGAATCTAAGATACCCATAAATTGTTTTAATCAAAATAATCAGCAAACATACACTCCTTGGCATTCTAAAATTTCGACACCTTGGCCTAGTATCGTGCCCGCTAGTCAAGCTGTGAATTACTGCAACGTCAATCAATCGTCTTATACTTACAGCATCCCTAGTTCTTACACTTCATCCTTTTCTCCGTGTCAATTTGCAGCCGGATAAACCGAAAAATTAATTGCTTAGTAAAGTTTGTAATCATCTAGAATTCGCTTAAATTTTCATTCTAAAAAAAAAAAGTATCCTCGACAAAATTGCTAAATGCTATGAAATAATTCTAAATGATTTTGTAATTGAAATAAAATGTCTTTCTTTACATAAAATTTTTCAATAAAAGTTTTTAAAATATAATTTTATTCAATTGTAACAAATTTATGTTTATTTTGTTAATAAATATTCAAAACTGTTACGAAACTGAATTAATATAAGCGGTATTTTTAAATAATTAATATAAATAACGATAGATTATGTTCGTTAATTCAATAGGCCTATATTTAATAAGCAGATTATTTTAATATTTATGATTTAATTATTATTATTTCTCTATTTATGTTAACATCCTAAGAGGCTTGTCTAAAGCATTTGACATCCGGAGAAGGTCCTTTGTTTTGAGGGTCACTCCTGTAATTGATTTTTAAATTTAAACGTACAGAAAAATATTACGCTTGCAATTCGATTTTTAAACAGTATTAACACAAGCAATTTAATTAAACATTTAGTAAGCAATTAATACTTCATTTTATTTCATTAAAAACAACAAATTCTCTGCTTTCGAGCCTGAATTTCTGCATGACAATCAATGACACAGCAAAATTCTTCTTTCTTGCTTATTCATGTTCAACTGGAAGTACTGTAGAGCGAAATTTATCAATCTTCTCTGGCTCAAGGTCTACTGTAAAAAAAATTTTTTTTGACAATTTAAATTTGGAAAACCGTCTTTCAGGTAAAGTAATAGACACAAATAGTCAGAAAGAATCGTCTTCTTTAGATTATTAGTCCCACTCTTGTGGAGTCGCTGCTGCAGATCGCTTTCTTTCACATCACTCTGTCCTCTGCCAAGTTCCGATCAATTCCAAGAGCCGTCATATCCTCAAATACACTGTCAAACCATCGTCTTCTCGGACTCTTTTCCTTCTTCGCAAGGAAGTCGTTTGAATTATGTCGGAAACGTGTGGAAAGATTCATCTCCATCACACGTTTCCGGCATAATCCAAATGTTCGGACCACTGCAATCTTGACTCTAATTTTATTAGATTTTATCAACACCCAAAGTCCTTTTCATCATGTTACTTTCGACCTGTCTCTTCCCATCACATGCTCATCTCAGCATTTTCATCTCAACAACATCGGTCAATTCGCATTTTTCTTAAAGGCAATATTTCCGTTCCGTACATCAAAGCAGGCCTTATCACCGATTTGTAAACCTTAGTTTTCATTTTTAGTGAGATTTTTCTATCACATAAAACACCTGACACCTTTCTTCAACCTTCCAATCTGTCTATATTCTATGACGGACCTCCGTCTCGCTACCCGCGCATCGATCCATAAAAACCCCAAATCCTCGTGTCTTAGGCAATTTCTGACCTCTGATCTTAGTATCATTCGTTCATCATTTCTCACATCATCCACTCCGTATATCATAAATTCAGTTTTGGTTGCATTCAATTTCAAATCTCTATCTTCCAGTGCCCTCCCCCAATCCTCCTATCTCGCCTCAGCTACTTTCCTCTCTTGTTTCAGCACATACTTTATTTTTATTTTAACAAAAGACAACGGTCGTACGCAAACTGTTTAGCAGGCGAAAGAAGGGGAGGAAAGAGGGGAAGGAAAGAAGAAAGGTGAAGAGATAGAAAGAAGAAAAAGAAGGATTCCTCTGAGCGGTGTACAGTACATTGTATGTGTCTGGATGAGTTGCTGTAATGTGCAAGGCCAGTTGTATCTCTCCAAAATTTCCGTTCTCACTGAGCTATCCCTAATGTTCATGCACCTATCACAACGGAAAATTAAGTGGGCCTTCCCAAAATTAAACCTATGCAGATAATGCTTGAAGTTGCCGTGGCCTGTAAGAAGTTGAGTGAAGGTAAAGCTAGGAGAAAAGTGTGAAAGAGTTTCAATAGTGACCATGGGGATAAAAGTGTAGGTGAGCCTATCGGCAGTGTCGAGCTACCTTACCAGAGAATGTATTTTAATGTGCATGTCAATGTAAGAAATGGAATATAACTGAAAGTACTAGAGACTATAGACAGCAGCCGATTTGGAAGACGGTCAGCGGCCTCATTTCCGAGGATCCCCGCGTGACTCGGGATCCATTGAAAATCTACTTTAACGTTGTTATTTAAGTGCTTGAGAATGTGATGTATGAGATGCACAAGTTTAACGCGGCTATCAGATCTGAATATCCTGTGTATCCGAGAATATGCGGTAATGTACAGTACAAAGCGTCTTTTGTCCTGTCTACACCTAATGTGAATCAAGTTATAAATAGCTAATGTTTATGTAGTACGCGTAGAACAAAAACTAATCAAAATTGAAGAACCAAGTATCAATCGACTCTAGTACTAACCAATAAACACAAGAACAGAGTGAGAAAACACTGAAAATCGCCGATCTGACGACTAAAAGAGATGCTAAAAGTCATCAACACAGGAAAAGATTAACAGAGGAAATCTTTCAACACATTCTACAATATCAGCGTAGACCATAGACTATGGTGCCTTCTTCAGTCGTACTTCTATTATTTCATTCACCACGATAGCAAAGATCAATGGCTCGAGGTAAAACCCTAATATAGTTTACCCCAACAACAATAAGAAAGGCTACTGTGCTTCCTGCTGCACATCTATCATTAGCTTTACAATTATCATATAATAATCCTTAAATACTACCATATATTTCTCGTGAACCAATTTTCTTCTGAGACACCTCCGCAGTTCTTCTCTCGACACCCAGCAGAATGCTTTCTCCAGGTCAATAAAAACAATGTATAGGTCCTTTCTTCCTTCATCATATTTTTCCATTAATTGTCTCAGGACAAAGGTAACATCTATTACCTCTTACCTGACATAAAACCGAACTGCTACTCATTGATTGTTGTGACCTCATGAGCTTCAGGGATTAAATTAACATAAACAAAATTGATCTCAGCTAATTTAGGAAATAAGTTAGTAGAATTAATAATTTTAAAAAAGTTTACTTTTAACCACAAAAATAAGAGTTTTTTCCCCATTTTTTTGTGATAATTAATAATATAAAAATTATTTTAGAATAAAATCTACTAACAGATGGAGCCACAGATAATTTTATAAACTTAACTCTCCGGAAGTCACAATAAAATAACTAACGAAGATACCAGGAAATTCCCTAAATTCATCCAAAAATTTCCCTAAAAATGTCTGATGTGTAATTCAGATTATCCTGATCCAATGAAACCATAACGCGCCACACTCAGGTATTTTTTTTTATGAATGAATCACAGAAGCTTTCTCAATTATTTGAATTGTATTGTTGCAATAATGCGACTAACTTTTTCGGTGTATTCAACAGCCTTTCATTTCAACGTTCCTTTTGTTTACAGAGAAATATTGTCTCACGTATGCATTAAAAGGGACACCCTAAGAAAAACACTGCGCTGCGAACTCGAGTCCTAATAGATAATATATAATTAATTTCTACATTGCTATCCGAGAGATTGTGATTCCTGAGCTGACAGGTACTTAAGTTTAACTAAAGATTAAAGTTTAATTAGACTGTAATTTGAAGAAATTGGGGAGATTTATAAATTCTCACTGTATGTCTTTCCTTAATCTCGAGAATGGAGTTAAATAGATAAAATCAGAGACCAGATTAAGGGCAAGAGGCCCCGAATACACGAACTTCATCCTAAATGAATTCTCCCTATATATATGAACTTTTAATTAAAGCAAACCGGAAGTCGTATTATTTCAATTCAAAACTCCCCCCTCCCCCGATAGTAGTTAACAGATGACGATATAATTCTGTTGCTAATAGGAAAAGTATAGTGTACAGGGGCAAGCCACTACTAATTTGAGATGGAGAGCGTATATTTTAATTTATAAATTTCATAAATCAGGCTATTGAATAAATTTACACTAAAATAATTCATCAAATTCCGTGTCTACTGGTGGATAAGATTTCAGTAAAGAAATGAAATTTACTGTATTTTAATTATTACAATTGTAGTATAATAAAGTTATTAATATTTTAAAAGTTAATTAAATATTTATTCAATTTCCTATATTTGGATAATGAACGATATCAATATGTAGGTTGTTTCCTTATTTTCGTTAATGTGATGTGAACCAAAAAGAGTTATAAATTACTACACTGGATTTATTTGTTCAGGCGAAACGCTATCCTTACACAAAGGCTTTACTAATGGCCTCAATTATTCCCATTAAGGATGGATCTCGTTCATAATTAGAATTGAGGAACGACCTTAAGATCCGTCTACATTAGATCGAATTCGGAGTTTTATGACAAAATTATAGGAAGTGTAACTATCGTCGAACGGATAAGCACTCGCTTGTCAGATATATCGAAGGATATCAGGTCGTCGATCTGCTAAACATTTATGACAGTATTTTTATTATATCGTCTGTGTACCATCCTGTTATTATTGATTGGGCATACCAGTGGCTGACTGGATAAAACCATTGAACACTGGTAATTGGAGCCTCACCAACAGGCCGTTGGCATGAAGTTTTACGGGTTTTCTTCACGCTTCTAACACCTAAGGGTTAGTTTCTCGTAAAAAAAAAAAAATGTCCTCCCGGGACGATAGATCGCTCGCAAGTTGCGTTGCCGTATACAAACAACAAACAATGAATTATCAAATATGGCGTCTAAGGCAGCTGTAACCCAGAACAATACAAAATCTAAAAATACACAATTATTGCAAAATTAAAATAGTAAAATAGAATCATTAGGTACAAAAGTAGCATTGTTAGTTTGGGAGGGCCTGCATATTGTAGGCCTAGGGGGTGCCATATTTCTAAATGCGCCACTGGGAACCATAATAGTGTTTGCTGTATCAGTGACGGTCGACCTACATCATGCGAACTTGGTGCCAAATACGGGGTTGCTGCAGGAGGCACCATAATAGAATCGTTTAGATTTCGTACAATGTTTTGGTCGGCGCTGATTAATTTTAAGTTAAAATCAATATATTTATCAAACGCGTGTATTAAGCACTATAAGGATACAGCAACACCAAAAGTTTCCCTAACGGCTGAATTTTGAATTAAATTTTTTCTATAAAATCGAAACCGCATACTCTGGATAATACGTGCCAAATTTGATTGGGATTTTCCCAACGGTGCTTTCTACAGGGAGCTCTGAACACCTAATTTTTAATTACTATCACACTGTAGCATAAATTTGCAAGAATTTATAAGTTTAAATCTTTAAAAATTTTATCTAAATACGTAATGTTTGTAAATGTCTGACACTGCAAATTCGATAAAAATAAAATTTATTTTTGAAAGATTTCAATAACTGTAAAAAAAAATACATGTTTACTATGAACAAACACATACTACGCTCCAGTCAAGTGGAGCGTAGTGTGTCTTTTCCTGTATGTTCTAGGAGACATTAATAATGTTAAAAATATATTTATTATGAAGAAAAATTTGACAAAACTAATTTTTTAATTATACAATTATTAATAAATTTATTTAAATGGCATTTCCCGATAGAAATTTTATTATTAACAGGATAAAAAAAAAACTCCAGGAATCTCAGCAGTCTACAGGAAAACATCTGATGGAATATAATGTCATTTAATTTTAACGATACTCGTTCACTTTTATTGTGTTTCACGAGATAATGCTATAGAAATTTTTTAGTAAAAATTTTATTTTCAAAAATTAATTTATTAGAACAAATACATAACTTTGAAGGTGAACTTCTGTCTTCAAAACAATGAAAATTCAAATCTTATCAATTGATTTATATGTAATAAATTGCAAAAATCCCAGTTCACAAGGTAAATTCCTAGGAGAATCTGTCCTTGATTTCGAATCTATATATAATTTACTTTTAATAGATTTATGATGAAAAATATATCAAGGTCTATAATACTAATCTAGTTTAATATTCATACTATAACAAAACCTATTCTTTATCATTTTAACAAAACATTTAATAAATTTACAGCACATCTAACACGGATCTAGTCGTTGAATGTGTAAAGCATAGAGGGTCGATTATGGAAACAAAGTCTAGACTTAAGACATGGTTTAGACTTTAGATCTTCCTCTTCTAGCTTAAGCTATGACTTTCGTAAAAATAATACTTAACAATAGATAATTACTTACCCAAATTAAGGATTAGAAGGCCTAAAAGATGGCCTGAGCCGTGGTTTAGACTAGACTTCATTTCTGTAATTTGTTGTTAAATATTTTCAATATTTTTTTCGCTCCATTAAAAATTAATTTTAAAAAATTGTTTTATAATTTTTTAATGATAATTTGAACAAAAAAAAAATACAGAAGAATGATTATTAGACATTAAATTATGTTCGTATACAAAAATAATAAGTAAATAACTTGCTCTGCACAATTTACAATGAATTAACTTTTTAAACTTTAATTTTAAAAATATCGCATGTATTAAATTACTTCAAAACGCATTAAAATTAGTAAATTTAAACACAATTTTTTTAAAAATATATTAATTCAAATATCTGCTNGACTCTTACAACATGGAATTCATATAAAACGGAATAATCAACAGTGTTATAGGGGGGTTGACTTGTATATTATTCGCTAGTTACTTTCATACTTATTACAAATAGAATATACAGCTTAAACTTTACAAAATTTTATTTTTCATATTACTTTTTTTCTTATAAAATATGAACTGTATCTTATAAAGAAATCACGTATAGTCATATCTTACTGTGTGAATTTATGGAACTTCGTTTTAGCGTCGTTATTTCCTTATAAACGCGAGAAAAATGTGTAGCTATTATACCTGAAGATGGGGCTGGACTTAAGGCTTCTTGTGGCCCTAAACTCTTCCCCTCCCAAATATTGATGCATGTAAAAATACGAGGCCCTAAGCTACGGACTTGTTTAGTTCGTGTGAAAGTCCGGCCCTACCCGTAAACGAATTTTCGGTAATAATTTGAAGAGGCTACCGGAAAATTACCTATATTATATATATAAAATGTTAATTCGATTAGTTAAAAGTATTTCAGAAAATATAAAAATTATCAATAAATGAATAAAAAAAACAATTATATTAACTTATTAAATTTCGATCTTGTAGTGTAATAAAGACAGTTGAAAATATTTTATGGCTAACATTCCTCCATTTTCTTTTTCTTTTTGACTATTAACAACGTATTAGTCATTTTTCATGGTCACTTCAAATATTTTAACTATTAGTTATAATGCCGAAACGACCACGTGTTAATAATCGCCAACACTTTACATGTGACACGAACACGTGACAATTAAAACTCGGTGCATTCACTCGTGAATAACGTCATTAAATAAATCAAAATATTAACTAAACTGTTTATTAATTTTAAACGTTTAAAACATTCGTTACACATCGAAACGGCCAGAATTAAAGCTCATACAAGGCGACTACGTAATGAAAGTTCAGTCACTATTATCCTATATCTGAAGATTCATTGTGGGTTACATAAAAGAATTAATAGACGATATACTTTATAACTCCAACAAAACATATCCAGGAACATTTAGGAATATATCCAGGAAAACTCCAGAGATTTTCAGGGAAAATTCCTGGAGTTTTTCTAGATATATTCCTCACTACCTAGCCGCCTCGTTGTGTTCTTACAGAATCCACGATGGGGATAAAAAGAGCCCTCTTAATGCCCACAGGGAAAAAAAGTAAAAAAAAAATCCAGCAACGGGTTGCTTAACTTTTCCGGCAACATTTAAAACTGCTTGTGTGGCGCCATATGTTACGATATTTTATTATTAAAAAAAAAATATATTAAATGCTGCATTTAATCGAGCTTATAGCATCAGTAGATAGGTGAATCTATTTCCTTTAGAATTTCATTCCCTCATACCAAGTTCAAGGCCATCAACCTGTTTGTCATTAACTTCAATTGCGGAAATTCCAAAAATGATTGGCACAGAGAAGTAACCATGTCATTTAATATTATTTAAATTTCGTTAGATTATTTTTATAAATTATGAAATAATAAAACGTGCATTTTGTTACTCCGAGATACGCTTCAGAGATAACGAGCTTCCTTCCGTAACGTACAACAACTGTTTACAATTAGGTCAAAGTTGAGCAAATACTAATTTTAGAAAAATTGGAACTTCTTCGTAATTTGCGTATATTTAAAGCCTAACCTCAACATAATTGCTCTATTCAAAATTTCCGAATTTCGATGGGTTAGAAATTCGCTTGTGTTGAAGATACTACACAGTTTATCTATAGTAAATTCAGGAGAAAAAAAAAAAAAAACGTTATTAAAGTATACGAAATTCGCCGTAAATCATTTACAGAATTTCCCGGGATATTTTAATTCATTATTTAGCGATAAGCATTTAAAATCTCTGTCGTATTGTCGTCACTCATGCGCATTGCCATTACTCCAAGCAAACCAATGACTTATGCGATTGTTAATCGTCACTTCTAAGTTAACTGATTGGATGAAACTATAATATAAAGCCACTCTCTCTCTCAACACTCATTAGAAGATCGCTGCCAACCATGGCTTCGTTGGTGGCTTTCCTATCCTGTGCGGCTTTAGCGAGTGTCGCCAGCTGCAATTCGAAAGTTAATAGCCGTTATTGTTACCAGTCGCCTAACAGTAATGTTTCAATTTATAATTTCACTTTACCGAATTTATTCGAGACGAAAAATATCAGTTTATCAGACTTTAGTGGTCGAGTAGTTCTAATCGTTAACGTGGCCACTTACTGAGGCTTTACTTGGCACTATACTCAACTGAATGCACTACAAAATGTTTATAACGAATTGACTGTCCTCGGCTTTCCTTGTAATCAATTTGGAAAGGTAAGTTTGAATTTTTATAATATTAAATCGTACGGGAAAGTGAATCTTTCGTCGGAAGTGAGATTTTCTAATTTAAATAATGTTTATTAATTTAGTACGAAATTAGAAAAATATTTTTTGCTATTATTAAATTTTTATTTCGGATATAATAATTCGCCGAAACATATGTGATTAAAAGTCACCATCTGTAAGTTGTAAAATTCGTATAAATCAAATAGGAATTTTACAACTGGTAAAATACATATTCTTTTATTATACACAGTCAACCCCCCTATAACACTGTTGATTATTCCGTTTTATATGAATTCAATGTTGTACGAGTCACTTAGATTTTACAAAACAATGAATTATCAAATATGGCGTCTAAGGCAGCTGTAACCCAGAACAATACAAAATCTAAAAATACACAATTATTGCAAAATTAAAATAGTAAAATAGAATCATTAGGTACAAAAGTAGCATTGTTAGTTTGGGAGGGCCTGCATATTGTAGGCCTAGGGGGTGCCATATTTCTAAATGCGCCACTGGGAACCATAATAGTGTTTGCTGTATCAGTGACGGTCGACCTACATCATGCGAACTTGGTGCCAAATACGGGGTTGCTGCAGGAGGCACCATAATAGAATCGTTTAGATTTCGTACAATGTTTTGGTCGGCGCTGATTAATTTTAAGTTAAAATCAATATATTTATCAAACGCGTGTATTAAGCACTATAAGGATACAGCAACACCAAAAGTTTCCCTAACGGCTGAATTTTGAATTAAATTTTTTCTATAAAATCGAAACCGCATACTCTGGATAATACGTGCCAAATTTGATTGGGATTTTCCCAACGGTGCTTTCTACAGGGAGCTCTGAACACCTAATTTTTAATTACTATCACACTGTAGCATAAATTTGCAAGAATTTATAAGTTTAAATCTTTAAAAATTTTATCTAAATACGTAATGTTTGTAAATGTCTGACACTGCAAATTCGATAAAAATAAAATTTATTTTTGAAAGATTTCAATAACTGTAAAAAAAAATACATGTTTACTATGAACAAACACATACTACGCTCCAGTCAAGTGGAGCGTAGTGTGTCTTTTCCTGTATGTTCTAGGAGACATTAATAATGTTAAAAATATATTTATTATGAAAAAAAATTTGACAAAACTAATTTTTTAATTATACAATTATTAATAAATTTATTTAAATGGCATTTCCCGATAGAAATTTTATTATTAACAGGATAAAAAAAAAACTCCAGGAATCTCAGCAGTCTACAGGAAAACATCTGATGGAATATAATGTCATTTAATTTTAACGATACTCGTTCACTTTTATTGTGTTTCACGAGATAATGCTATAGAAATTTTTTAGTAAAAATTTTATTTTCAAAAATTAATTTATTAGAACAAATACATAACTTTGAAGGTGAACTTCTGTCTTCAAAACAATGAAAATTCAAATCTTATCAATTGATTTATATGTAATAAATTGCAAAAATCCCAGTTCACAAGGTAAATTCCTAGGAGAATCTGTCCTTGATTTCGAATCTATATATAATTTACTTTTAATAGATTTATGATGAAAAATATATCAAGGTCTATAATACTAATCTAGTTTAATATTCATACTATAACAAAACCTATTCTTTATCATTTTAACAAAACATTTAATAAATTTACAGCACATCTAACACGGATCTAGTCGTTGAATGTGTAAAGCATAGAGGGTCGATTATGGAAACAAAGTCTANATTATAAAATGGCAAAAAGCTTAATTTTGAGGGTAGGGATGATGAGTTTTTATTTAAAAAAATTGTAAATGTTAATAACGAGTAAAATCGTCATTAAGTTCGACTTTGCTCGAGATACGACACACGACCACCCTTTATCTCCCCATCCCGTCGACCTTTAATCACCAAAATTTAATAGCATCAGTCCCTCTAATACACAAACCTTCCTACAAAATTTCAGAAATTTTGGACAAAAAACACAGGAGTTATTAAACTACAAACAGGGTGAACAAAATCGTGTTCCCCCCACACACACTAACATCCATACATAACTAATTTTTTGTATTTCTCGACGTTTCAAGACCCCCGAGTCCAAAAATGTAATAATCTTTGGGAAGGTGGGTAATTTTTTGCTTGATCTATATACTTTTCCTCTGTTATATAGACTATATAACAGCCGAAAAAGTAAAATGAAACAAAATATCTTTAAGTGCAGTTTTAGTTTAATTTATCGCTGAATTCTTTATAAACGAATTTTATCTTATTTCATAATAAACGAGAGAGTTTTTGTTTGTAAAATTAAAGCTAAATTTATCTCAAAACCGATAAAATTATTAAGTCGCAAAGAGTACAAGTACTGTACTGTATATACAAATAAATGAGTCAAGTGCTTAATAGCTTAAACGGACGATACGGTATGATTAAATTTAGTAATATATAAATTAAATTTAATAAATTTTCTATTAAAAATTTGAAAACGGAAAATAATTTTCTTTATAAATAAATTATTATCTTGTTGAATCTATTTTAAGTTAACATTTTATTACAACTAAAAAAAAGGGAGATTAAAAACTCGTTAAAATGGTTGAGTCAGCTGCTTTATTCCGATGTAATGATTATAGTTCAAGCAGAATATAATAAAGGAAAAAAGCAATTATTTTCGTATTAGGAAATTTTTCATTGTAGTGCATTTGTATTGCAGCAAGAACCGGGAGGAGACGGAAAGGAAATCTGGAATGGCGTAAAGTACGTCCGACCTGGTAACGAATTTACACCTAATTTTCATCTGTTCAAGAAGATAGAAGTTAACGGCATCGGAGAGCATCCTCTCTATACTTATCTAAAGGTAAAGTAGTAGTTAATTAAGCAATAGATAAGATCAAGTAAATAATTAAAATCCATTTATTTACAGTCTCTTTGCCCTCCGACTCGAGAAACTTTTGCTAATCAAACGAAATTATTTTATACCCCTATGAGCATCAGAGATATTCGTTGGAACTTCGAAAAATTCCTTATAAATCGACAAGGTAAACCCGTTATGCGTTACGATCCGAGCGTTCAGCCTCAGATGATAGCTAAAGACATCGAACATTTACTCTTATCCAATTCTGCGTAAATCTTAATTAACCAGTAAGATATTTCTTTCTTCCTATTATGACGAGTAAATCAGCACCTGTCTATTGACAGTTGATTTATTTTGATGTGTACGTATCTCAGTTAAGTTTTGTGCATTCGACTGGATTGAGAAATGTACATCGTGGAAGACAACTTCTAAAAATTCCTCTATACTTTTTCACGTGTTCTGATAACAAATTGTAAATTTGACTACATTTATTATGGGATATCGACTATCATTCAATCTGTTTTTGTAAATTATAACTTTATAAATAAACTTTAAAAGACGGGATTAAGTTAAAGTGATAAATTATTAAAGCGTGTAAAAGATAAGGACTGGATTTATTTATGTCATCATAACACATCAAAATATTCTCACTTATTCTTTTCACTATTACTAATAATAATATATAATTTAAAACATTTATTTCATAACCCGAACTGCTGAATCGTTAATTTTCATATATATTTTTCCAAATATACAACAAGAGAATTATTTTTAAAATGCTTTACATAATAAGTACACATTTGTAAGATATTGACTGATACGTAACGTACAAATAAAACAAATTAAAAAACGCAGCAATTTTTAATCATATTTTTAATTTATTTAATATAAAATATATGCTCTCCACCTCATATTATTAGTGTCTTGCCCCTGTATATCATACTTTTCCTATTAACAACAGTGTCATGCCGTCATCTATCTAACTCTTTACAGGGGAAAATTTTTGAATTGAAATAACGTGACTTTCGGTATATATATATATATATATACAGTAATACCTCGACTTAGGCGAACCCAGAGTTAACATTATTAACTTCCATACAAAAATGAAAATTTGTGAATAGGCAAGGAAGTTTGATCTACCGGAATCGACGGTCATAACAATTATAAAAGGTAAAGAAAAAATTCTCGAAGCTGTGAACAATGTTCAATCTTTAAATTCAAGCATCATTCGTAAACTTCACGGTATTATCGCCGAGATGGAAACAATGTTAAAATTATGGTGTTATAATCAAGTAAATGTGAAAAATTGTCCTGTTGATCAGAACACGGTGTGCTCTCAAGCTAAGCTGGTTTTTGAGAGATTGAAAGAGGATGCTGGTGAGGTGGCCAAAGATGAAGAGTTTAAAGCTAGTAACGGTTGGTTCAGCAGATTCAAAAGTCGCTGTAATAAGCATAGCATTGCAGAAAGGGGAGAGGCGGCAAGTGCTGATAAAGATGCTGCGTCTTACTATCCAGAGAAATTCAAAGCAATGATAGATGAAGGTGTCTATACCAGCCAAACCATATTCAACGTAGATGAGACTGGCCTGTTCTGGAAGAAGATGCCTAAAAGAACGTTTATCACGCGTGAAGAGAAAACCTTTCCAGGTTTTAAGGCCGCCAAAGATCGATTGACAGTGATGGTTGGAGCGAATGCAGCTGGTGATTGTAAGTTAAAACCTCCCTTAGTTTATCACTCGGAAAATCCAGGAAAAGCTTGAGTGGCAGCTTCCCTTCTTGAGGACTGGTTTGGTCATCACTTCATACCTGAAGTCGAACGTTATTGCCAATCTAAACAAATTCCATTTAAAGTGATGCCCGTAATCGACAACGCACCAGGTCATCCCCCTACAACTTTAACTAATTTTGACCCACGTGTGAAACTTGTATTTTTGCCACCAAATACAACCAGCTTGTTTCAACGGATGGATCAGGGAGTCATCAAAACATTCAAAGCTTATTACACGAGACGATCGTTTGCACATCTGCATGAAGCTATGAGGTAAAACAACGAGCTCTGTGTTAAAGACTTTTGGAAACATTTTTTCTAAATTATTTTTTTTTTTAGTCTCCGGCCCGAAATAAAAATAATTTGTATGTATTTGTATGCGAAATTATACCCCGACTTACGCGGTTATCGCTCGGTCCGACCTATTGCGTAAGTTCGGGGTTTTACTGTAATTAATCGGGTCCTCCTGCCCCAAGTTTTCTATATCTGGTCTCGGATTTCATTTCCGTTCTCGGGATTAAGGAAAGACAAATAGATGGACGACAGTGGGAATTTATAGATATATAAGCCTCAAAAATTAGGTGTCTATTATCATCTTCCTATATAAACATTTAGTGAACGTTTAAAAAGTTTATATTATAAAGAAAAGACTTATCATATAAGGATTTTCGTTTCCCCTTTTAACATAAAGGGCCTCATAACAAAATTACGCCCAGGGCCACAAAGAACATAATCCGCTATTGATCAGCATAGAATATCACTATAATATACTCCTTAAAAATAACAATAAATTTATATCTTCAATGACAAAGTATTAGGGATTCGCCAAGCAATAATAAACAAACGTTTCGTAATTCAATAATGCAATTCATTTCGAAAATATCCTTTAGACCTAGATGTAGTTCAAGGTTTCTACTAGTCAATGCTAAATTTAGTATTCACCCTATTTAAAACCAGGATTTATAAATATTTAAGAGGGGAAAATAATTTAATGTTATTACGCTGATGTAAAATATAAATTTTCAATGACTAATACTTCATGAAATATTGATAAAATACAGCATAATTATAGAACATGAAATTCATTTTTAACGAATATTTATTATACAAACGATATTTTAAAAATTTGAGCTATAAAAAATATATATATAGCCTATATAAATAAAATCGCAAATTAATTTTTAAATTAACTAATAACGAGTAAAATTGTCATTAAGTCCCACCCTACTACGACACACGACCCCCCTTTATCTCCCCATCCCTCGACCTTTAACCATAGTTTCTATCCCAGAGCTGGGAATGTAAAAATGCTTTGTTATATTTATTGGGCATTTTAGTAATTGTCTCGGTGTTTTTATTATATTTTCATTACTTTAGTAAGAATTAAAATAAATAATTAAAAAATTAAATATTCAAAATTTATAACACGATAACAAGTCTAATAAATATAATGTTAAATATTTGTTTTAATTAATGCGAAGATTAAGTCTTAACAGATATAAGAAAATAGTAAATAAGCCAGGTACAATATTAAATTATCTTATATACAATTAAGATATTAACCGGATAATATCATAAATTAAACAAGACAAGTAGACATGGTGAAGCACCAAGAGTAGAAGAGCCAATGAACCCTGGCACCCCACAAAGGAGGGGTAAAAACACTAGAAAATTTTCCACCTAATTAAAATTTATATTGTGTCGTGTCTTTACTCCAATAATACTTATGATTTATCGTCATATAATGTAAGAATTTTATTGAATTCCATTAAAAATTCGAAGGTTCGAAGTATGATAAATTGTTTCTCCTCTTCGAACCATGCGTATTTTTTTTTTAAATGAAATTTATATTGTCGCAACACAACTTGTAGCAGAGAAATTTATTTCAAGTCCTACAAAATAGAAATTATTATGAGATATTGTACGATCATCCGGTTAAATAATTGATGTGAATAAGTTCTATTACAACGAGATCCGGATACTAGTAACAAAACGTTGTCCCTGTTATATAATCAACCTCATTGATAAATTGGTGTGAATAACTCATAATTGTTACGTATGAGTGATTTTTTTTCTTGTGGGTCGAGAGTTTTATTCTCCTCTTTTGTTCGTGCAATTATTAGAATTGTGGACCGATCCATAATGGAAAAACTCAAGCAGGATGAAGCTAATTTATATCCAGTTGTAAACATGTGAATAAACTCTTTGTACGCGTAATGCTATCAATTTAAATTAATCAAACTAACAAATACTCTTTATATTTAACAATAATATTGTTAAATTTAGTGTAAAAACATGCAAATAAGCTGTAGCAGTATTCAAATCTATAATACATTATGTAGTGGATTCGGACCAGACTGTCCACAATTGCCAAAATATCAGAAACAAAACAGTATATTCGCTTCATAATTAAATAATTTATATGATAAACGTCAATATAAGCAAGAAAAAGCCAAAGATTCAAGACAAATTCAATTTGCAAGTTCGACGTGTGACCTACTTTACTAATCTAATTTTTATTTCGTGTCATTTTTACATGTTTCGGTGCATCATCCTGTATGCACCAAATCGCATATGGTCACACGTTGTAAAACACGAATTTTTTGGTATGTAAATTAGCCTAATTTGTTACAATTTGCCACTTTGTTTGGCCTTCCAAAATTATATTTAAAAATGGCACTGGAAGTAACTTTTGGGTTGTAATAAATCAAAATTCGAGGAAGTGGCATCTAAAATTGCATTCAGCCATTGACTTTGTTGTTACAGTTTATCAAATAAAACTATCTTCAACTTTAAAGTGAGGATATTCTGTAGGAGAGATAACGAATGCAATAGTCAGTACTCAATAATTAGTAAATTGCATTTTTTTTTTGGAAAGAAATTTAAACAAATTCTTCTAAATCAAAATAACAAAATGCATTTTAATGTTGTTTTAAGATGTGGCCCGATTCCCATCGTCTCCAAACTTGATAAACATAAATTTAATCATTGTGTAGGCTATGTGTGAGTAAATGCACTGCAGTGATGTCTATATAGTGTGTGTATATAGTAATTATTTATTGTAACATCGTCATAATGCCAGGCTGCAATTTTAACCATATTTTTAATTAATTTAATTTAAAATATATACTCTTCGCCTCAAATTAGTAGTGGCTTTCCCCTGTACATCATACTTTCCCTTTAACAATAGAGTCATGCCGGTTATCCATTAATTGCTTTCAGGGTGGAAAAGTTTTGAATTGAAATAACGTGACTTCCTGTTTGCATCAGAAGTTCACATATGGGGCCTCCTATCCCTAAGATTTCCATATCTAGTCTCAACTTTCATCTATCTAACTCCTTTCTCGAGATTAAGGAAGGACAGACAAAAAAGCCTGTCGACAGCGAGAATTTATAATCTACAATTTTTTCAAATTGCAGCCCTTTAAACCTGTCTACAATGAAATTTCTAAAACAATTTTATTCAAAACTTTATCCTTAATAAGTCAATAATATGGATAAAACCTTCAGAACTTGTATTTTTTTTTTTCTCAATGATTTTTCTTAACTAATATGGAGCACCATAAATATAGTAAAATATACCCTTAATTTTATATTCTAAATAAAAATTAAAATATTGTACAACACTAGAGAACTAGAGAATTATTATCTTTTACTTAAAGAAGTCTGATGTGACTACATTTTCTTATAACATATACTCAAACCGCACAAGCTATACAAACTATAAAATATTGAAAACAAAAAAAATAAGGAAAAATAACAAGTGATTAATACAATAAATAAAAATTTAACAGTAGAAATTTATTAAATTTTATATTAACCTTAAACTATTAAATAAAACATCTAAAATTTTTTTCTAGGAATATTTGAAAATTTACTATATATTACAGAATTATTCACAGACTTCATATAATAATTTATATTAAAATTATAGTTATTTTTAATGAATTTTAATGTAAATGTATGTTTACACTTTCAAAACAAGTTGTAATTTTAATCAGATATAAATTTTATGTTGTAATATCATATTTTAAAAGCTAAGCAATTATTTATGATTCAACGTCATGCAAATATAATAATAAATAATAATAATAATGCATTAAATTAACTTCTATATCATAATTCATATTTAAATAAAAACATAACTGATAAAAATATTAAATTAATTCTGAATAAAAATGAAAATAACAGACCTTAGAATATAATATTTGCACAGTTATATCTCATTACAGGGAGGAGAAAACCAATTATCTCTCTTCTAATTTTTAACTGAATATATGTTAATTTAATACTGCTTAAACCTTGAAATTAAAATCAATTAAATTTTATATATTAAATAATATTAAATTCATCAAGCACAATCAGATAATTAAGGAGTATGGTTATTTTAATCAAGATTAGTTACTTTTCTAGACATTTTTGCATCATTATCATCATAATTCAAACTAGAACAAACAAATAATTTCTCAAATCATTCTATTTTTATCACTTAAATATTCAAAGTATAACACATCACTGAAACTTACATTTTAAATCATAGAACAAAATACTTATAAAGTAATCCATTATAAAATAGAAAATAATAAATGTATTAAAAAAATAGCTATTACTGTATATAGAATTAATAACATGTAAATTATTAGTTTTTAAAATAAAAAGAAAATACTGTAGTATAATATTTTAAACAGGTTTGTGTTTGTGCGCGTATATCATTAAAAACTATAGAACACTGATTTTAGTTAGTTCATATCTGATCAAGAAATTTTTTCCAAAAGTTTATTATGAATCAAATTTCAATACGTTTATAATATTTATCATTATATGAATCATTTTCTGAAATTTCTATTAAAGGCAAGGGCTCCTGCTCAACTTTCTGGGCACTTGAGCATGAGATTTTAAGGCGACCATTAGGAATTGGTAATTTTCAATCGTATGACAATATAAAATTTAAACAACAAAAGTTTAAGTGGAATAATTTTGTTGAATTACAAAAAAATTTCTCTGTTTAAAAAGTATTTAAGTTTAAAAAACACCAAGACACATTAGCACAAAGTTAAAATTGTGCGCGAGATTTTATTGATGTAATAAGATTTTATTAGAAAGCAATATTTATATTATAAAAAGACAAAAGAATTAATTTTGAGGATAAAAATGAGTTTATAATAAAATTGTAAATTCAAATAAGGAGTAAAATTTTTGGCAAGTTTGAACCCACTGTTGATATTATACATCCCCCATCTTCTCATCCCCTTAACCATAAAGCTATGAAAATTTAATAGCATCAATATCCCATATATAGAATTAACACTTCCAAGTTTCAAAATCTTTGTTACACACAGACCTGAGATACATAATGAAAATTACACACAGATGCAGTTTGTAAGGGATATTTTATATTTTTGGGCTACTTGAGTGTCAAAACAAAGTGAAAAAAAGCTAGTGAAATCAAAAATTGACTAAACCATATACTTTCTTTTTATTTTCTGTAACATCCAGGAAAGTAAAATTTATATTTATTATTTATATATATTTTGATTATTCCTATGTCTCTGTTAAACTGTCACATCATTGGAGTACACAAATTGTCTATAAGTCATACAGTAATAATATTAGCATGTGCTTATTTCTCATTGTTTTGCACATCTTAAAGATCTAGTGTATGATGTGACATAGTGTAGGTGAGTACATTAAGTAACAACAGATGCAAACCATAATTAGTCAAAACAATACTGTCAAAGTGCATTGAGTGTTCTGAAATGAAGTAGAAGCAGAGGTAACACAAGAACTACTTTTGCATAAAATTCACAACCTTGATTCCATAATGATAGGAAGACACAAACAAAAACAATTACTAAATATTTTAAAATTAAATTTGAATGTGTTTGAACTTGTATTTTATAATACTTGTTTCATTTTATAGTGTGTATCTATGTTGGAGATTCATTGCCATAAGAATGTTTAATGTTATATAAGTAACTTTCAAAAAACTTCTATTACTTGTCCTTTCATTTATCTATTAACAGGGTTACTACTCATATTTTTGTTTTAAATCCCATGACTTTCCATGACCAACTTTGTTTAAATTCCCCGATCTTCACATTTTTATATTCTTTAATATTTGTCTGAACATTAAATAAAATTTTAAAAAATACACAAAGTGATCACAATTTATAAGGTCTGATTTCAAAATACAATCTTACAATGCAGTAGAATAATAAGTCTTATGTGTAATAAAACTTACTTATTAAATCTAAAGTGCTATTCATCAATTTTTTTTACCTTTCTGTTATACACATACATACCCCACATATTAAGTTAACATTTCACTGTAATAGCTTTTATATTCTTATTATCAACAGTGTATCTTTATTTAAATTGTAAAAGAAAAACTTAATACAGTTTTTGGAAAACTGGAACAACATGCCTTTAAATACAAAATACCCCAATGAAATGTATTAACTCGAGTTTCTCAAACTTCACTTTCTTCTAGACCTCTTTAAATAAAAAAAACTTTTGGCAGACTCCCTAGAGTAGAATTTAATTAATATATATATATTAATTACAAGCTGCAATTTTTAATTTATTTAAAATATATGCTCTCCGCCTCAAATTAGTAGTGTCTTTTCCCTGTACAGTACATCATACTTTCCTGCTAGCAATAGAGTCGCGCTGGTCACTCGTTTCAGGAAAAAAATTTTTTAATTGAATAACATGACTTCCAGTTTGCCTTGAAAGTTCGTATATAGTTAATCGGGGCCTTCTGCCCCTAAGCTTTCCATAACTGCTCTTAAATTTCATTTATCTAACATCATTCTCGAGATTAAAGAAACACAGATGGACAGCCAGACAGATGACAGTGGGAATTTGAAACTGTAGACCAATTAATAAGTGTTTCTTAAAATAGTTTTTGATTTAAACATTTTAATTTAAATGATTTTACATGTTTTTAATTTAAACTTTAACATGTGTTTTAATAAAGGTAAATATTACAAGAAACTTTTTTTTAATTGGTATAATATAATGTGCTTCTTTTTCTTCTATAAACTCAACAATTCCTGTCAACATATATGTATATCCACAGGAATCCATGGAACACACATTATTGAGAAATTTGATATCTGAATTATCTCAAATATCTGGATATGAAAATTTCTACTTTTAAGCACTACACACTGTTTCAGATGATTTGTCCAATGTTATCAGATAAAGAAAGCACTTAAGAATCTCAGAATAGATAGATTGATTGGAGAAGGCAATGAAACACTTAATCTGCCAAGGAGGAATGCCTTTCAGGAGGGAAACTGACCATATTTAAGTGTTAGATATGTGAAGAAAACCTGAAAAACTCCATATGACCAGCCTGTTGGTGAGATGCAAACTGCAACCAACTACCAGTGTTTTATCCACTCAGGTATTGATGGGCTAAGCACATTAGTGAAGCAGGTATCAGGGCCCAGACCCAGCTTGTGTCATTTTAAAATTTTAAGTAATTTCAAAAAATTATAATGTTTTAATAAAATTATTTAAATTGTAAATGTATATAATTTTTCCTATTAACTTTAGTTAAAATAATTTAACTTAAATAATAGTGTAAAAGAGTATTTTGTAAGTTAGAATTTTTTCATCATGGTTAAAATAACCATGATGAAAAAATTTCAATAATAAAATCTTTTTTGCCAAATCTGAAATTTTCCTGTATTTTTTGGTGTTTGTTACTTGAAGGTCATCCTTAACTAAAATTTGATCTTTACAAAAATTCTTTCTGAAGTCACCATCATAAATAAATTTTGCATTTTTGGATGTCAAAAAATCCATTAATTACTGTGCCAAAATTAAAAATAATCATTCATGGCACAGACTTCAATTTTGTTTTTATTAATCAACGTATTTCATCAAGTTTATAATTGTGTATGCTATCCTATGATGAAGAGGACACAAACCTAAATTAAAAAGTGTTCTTTTAATCTAATACTTTTATTTCAATTCAAACACAAATTATTTATCGTATTTATACAGACACTTGGCAAATCACAGAATTAAATTTTATTCAGTTTGCCAAGTGTCTGTATAAATACGATAAATAATTTGTGTTTGAATTGAAATAGATTACTGGCACNTTAAAACTTTCAGAACAGTTTGCAGTTCATTTTTATCAGGTTGAGCAGGCATCATTTCATACTCTTCATCATCTTCTGGAGAATTTACACCTGAAGTAGCAGCTGCTTCCTTCGCAGCTCTTTCTAAATGTGAATGTTGTTTAGCAAGTTGTTCTACCATGTCCTCTAACCTTAAACGTTGTTCATGTTCATGTTGCAACATTTTTTGCCATTTTCTTCCTTGTGTTTGAGCTAATTGTAAATATTCATTGCAAGCATTAATCATAGCATTTGAAGTTATTCGAAAAAGTGTGGCTCTTTCATTTACTGCTTTAAATTTTCCAGCTGTATCTGTAAAGTTTTCTAATTGTTCTAATTCTGAAAGAGAACGTTGCAATGCTGTTCCATGTTTAAGTATTAAATCGTTGCAAGTATTAAGGTCTTCCAATTTAGTACTTAAAACTTTCAGAACAGTTTGCAGTTCATTTTTATCAGGTTGAGCAGGCATCATTTCATACTCTTCATCATCTTCTGGAGAATTTACACCTGAAGTAGCAGCTGCTTCCTTCGCAGCTCTTTCTAAATGTGAATGTTGTTTAGCAAGTTGTTCTACCATGTCCTCTAACCTTAAACGTTGTTCATGTTCATGTTGCAACATTTTTTGCCATTTTCTTCCTTGTGTTTGAGCTAATTGTAAATATTCATTGCAAGCATTAATCATAGCATTTGAAGTTATTCGAAAAAGTGTGGCTCTTTCATTTACTGCTTTAAATTTTCCAGCTGTATCTGTAAAGTTTTCTAATTGTTCTAATTCTGAAAGAGAACGTTGCAATGCTGTTCCATGTTTAAGTATTAAATCGTTGCAAGTATTAAGGTCTTCCAATTTAGTACTTAAAACTTTCAGAACAGTTTGCAGTTCATTTTTATCAGGTTGAGCAGGCATCATTTCATACTCTTCATCATCTTCTGGAGAATTTACACCTGAAGTAGCAGCTGCTTCCTTCGCAGCTCTTTCTAAATGTGAATGTTGTTTAGCAAGTTGTTCTACCATGTCCTCTAACCTTAAACGTTGTTCATGTTCATGTTGCAACATTTTTTGCCATTTTCTTCCTTGTGTTTGAGCTAATTGTAAATATTCATTGCAAGCATTAATCATAGCATTTGAAGTTATTCGAAAAAGTGTGGCTCTTTCATTTACTGCTTTAAATTTTCCAGCTGTATCTGTAAAGTTTTCTAATTGTTCTAATTCTGAAAGAGAACGTTGCAATGCTGTTCCATGTTTAAGTATTAAATCGTTGCAAGTATTAAGGTCTTCCAATTTAGTACTTAAAACTTTCAGAACAGTTTGCAGTTCATTTTTATCAGGTTGAGCAGGCATCATTTCATACTCTTCATCATCTTCTGGAGAATTTACACCTGAAGTAGCAGCTGCTTCCTTCGCAGCTCTTTCTAAATGTGAATGTTGTTTAGCAAGTTGTTCTACCATGTCCTCTAACCTTAAACGTTGTTCATGTTCATGTTGCAACATTTTTTGCCATTTTCTTCCTTGTGTTTGAGCTAATTGTAAATATTCATTGCAAGCATTAATCATAGCATTTGAAGTTATTCGAAAAAGTGTGGCTCTTTCATTTACTGCTTTAAATTTTCCAGCTGTATCTGTAAAGTTTTCTAATTGTTCTAATTCTGAAAGAGAACGTTGCAATGCTGTTCCATGTTTAAGTATTAAATCGTTGCAAGTATTAAGGTCTTCCAATTTAGTACTTAAAACTTTCAGAACAGTTTGCAGTTCATTTTTATCAGGTTGAGCAGGCATCATTTCATACTCTTCATCATCTTCTGGAGAATTTACACCTGAAGTAGCAGCTGCTTCCTTCGCAGCTCTTTCTAAATGTGAATGTTGTTTAGCAAGTTGTTCTACCATGTCCTCTAACCTTAAACGTTGTTCATGTTCATGTTGCAACATTTTTTGCCATTTTCTTCCTTGTGTTTGAGCTAATTGTAAATATTCATTGCAAGCATTAATCATAGCATTTGAAGTTATTCGAAAAAGTGTGGCTCTTTCATTTACTGCTTTAAATTTTCCAGCTGTATCTGTAAAGTTTTCTAATTGTTCTAATTCTGAAAGAGAACGTTGCAATGCTGTTCCATGTTTAAGTATTAAATCGTTGCAAGTATTAAGGTCTTCCAATTTAGTACTTAAAACTTTCAGAACAGTTTGCAGTTCATTTTTATCAGGTTGAGCAGGCATCATTTCATACTCTTCATCATCTTCTGGAGAATTTACACCTGAAGTAGCAGCTGCTTCCTTCGCAGCTCTTTCTAAATGTGAATGTTGTTTAGCAAGTTGTTCTACCATGTCCTCTAACCTTAAACGTTGTTCATGTTCATGTTGCAACATTTTTTGCCATTTTCTTCCTTGTGTTTGAGCTAATTGTAAATATTCATTGCAAGCATTAATCATAGCATTTGAAGTTATTCGAAAAAGTGTGGCTCTTTCATTTACTGCTTTAAATTTTCCAGCTGTATCTGTAAAGTTTTCTAATTGTTCTAATTCTGAAAGAGAACGTTGCAATGCTGTTCCATGTTTAAGTATTAAATCGTTGCAAGTATTAAGGTCTTCCAATTTAGTACTTAAAACTTTCAGAACAGTTTGCAGTTCATTTTTATCAGGTTGAGCAGGCATCATTTCATACTCTTCATCATCTTCTGGAGAATTTACACCTGAAGTAGCAGCTGCTTCCTTCGCAGCTCTTTCTAAATGTGAATGTTGTTTAGCAAGTTGTTCTACCATGTCCTCTAACCTTAAACGTTGTTCATGTTCATGTTGCAACATTTTTTGCCATTTTCTTCCTTGTGTTTGAGCTAATTGTAAATATTCATTGCAAGCATTAATCATAGCATTTGAAGTTATTCGAAAAAGTGTGGCTCTTTCATTTACTGCTTTAAATTTTCCAGCTGTATCTGTAAAGTTTTCTAATTGTTCTAATTCTGAAAGAGAACGTTGCAATGCTGTTCCATGTTTAAGTATTAAATCGTTGCAAGTATTAAGGTCTTCCAATTTAGTACTTAAAACTTTCAGAACAGTTTGCAGTTCATTTTTATCAGGTTGAGCAGGCATCATTTCATACTCTTCATCATCTTCTGGAGAATTTACACCTGAAGTAGCAGCTGCTTCCTTCGCAGCTCTTTCTAAATGTGAATGTTGTTTAGCAAGTTGTTCTACCATGTCCTCTAACCTTAAACGTTGTTCATGTTCATGTTGCAACATTTTTTGCCATTTTCTTCCTTGTGTTTGAGCTAATTGTAAATATTCATTGCAAGCATTAATCATAGCATTTGAAGTTATTCGAAAAAGTGTGGCTCTTTCATTTACTGCTTTAAATTTTCCAGCTGTATCTGTAAAGTTTTCTAATTGTTCTAATTCTGAAAGAGAACGTTGCAATGCTGTTCCATGTTTAAGTATTAAATCGTTGCAAGTATTAAGGTCTTCCAATTTAGTACTTAAAACTTTCAGAACAGTTTGCAGTTCATTTTTATCAGGTTGAGCAGGCATCATTTCATACTCTTCATCATCTTCTGGAGAATTTACACCTGAAGTAGCAGCTGCTTCCTTCGCAGCTCTTTCTAAATGTGAATGTTGTTTAGCAAGTTGTTCTACCATGTCCTCTAACCTTAAACGTTGTTCATGTTCATGTTGCAACATTTTTTGCCATTTTCTTCCTTGTGTTTGAGCTAATTGTAAATATTCATTGCAAGCATTAATCATAGCATTTGAAGTTATTCGAAAAAGTGTGGCTCTTTCATTTACTGCTTTAAATTTTCCAGCTGTATCTGTAAAGTTTTCTAATTGTTCTAATTCTGAAAGAGAACGTTGCAATGCTGTTCCATGTTTAAGTATTAAATCGTTGCAAGTATTAAGGTCTTCCAATTTAGTACTTAAAACTTTCAGAACAGTTTGCAGTTCATTTTTATCAGGTTGAGCAGGCATCATTTCATACTCTTCATCATCTTCTGGAGAATTTACACCTGAAGTAGCAGCTGCTTCCTTCGCAGCTCTTTCTAAATGTGAATGTTGTTTAGCAAGTTGTTCTACCATGTCCTCTAACCTTAAACGTTGTTCATGTTCATGTTGCAACATTTTTTGCCATTTTCTTCCTTGTGTTTGAGCTAATTGTAAATATTCATTGCAAGCATTAATCATAGCATTTGAAGTTATTCGAAAAAGTGTGGCTCTTTCATTTACTGCTTTAAATTTTCCAGCTGTATCTGTAAAGTTTTCTAATTGTTCTAATTCTGAAAGAGAACGTTGCAATGCTGTTCCATGTTTAAGTATTAAATCGTTGCAAGTATTAAGGTCTTCCAATTTAGTACTTAAAACTTTCAGAACAGTTTGCAGTTCATTTTTATCAGGTTGAGCAGGCATCATTTCATACTCTTCATCATCTTCTGGAGAATTTACACCTGAAGTAGCAGCTGCTTCCTTCGCAGCTCTTTCTAAATGTGAATGTTGTTTAGCAAGTTGTTCTACCATGTCCTCTAACCTTAAACGTTGTTCATGTTCATGTTGCAACATTTTTTGCCATTTTCTTCCTTGTGTTTGAGCTAATTGTAAATATTCATTGCAAGCATTAATCATAGCATTTGAAGTTATTCGAAAAAGTGTGGCTCTTTCATTTACTGCTTTAAATTTTCCAGCTGTATCTGTAAAGTTTTCTAATTGTTCTAATTCTGAAAGAGAACGTTGCAATGCTGTTCCATGTTTAAGTATTAAATCGTTGCAAGTATTAAGGTCTTCCAATTTAGTACTTAAAACTTTCAGAACAGTTTGCAGTTCATTTTTATCAGGTTGAGCAGGCATCATTTCATACTCTTCATCATCTTCTGGAGAATTTACACCTGAAGTAGCAGCTGCTTCCTTCGCAGCTCTTTCTAAATGTGAATGTTGTTTAGCAAGTTGTTCTACCATGTCCTCTAACCTTAAACGTTGTTCATGTTCATGTTGCAACATTTTTTGCCATTTTCTTCCTTGTGTTTGAGCTAATTGTAAATATTCATTGCAAGCATTAATCATAGCATTTGAAGTTATTCGAAAAAGTGTGGCTCTTTCATTTACTGCTTTAAATTTTCCAGCTGTATCTGTAAAGTTTTCTAATTGTTCTAATTCTGAAAGAGAACGTTGCAATGCTGTTCCATGTTTAAGTATTAAATCGTTGCAAGTATTAAGGTCTTCCAATTTAGTACTTAAAACTTTCAGAACAGTTTGCAGTTCATTTTTATCAGGTTGAGCAGGCATCATTTCATACTCTTCATCATCTTCTGGAGAATTTACACCTGAAGTAGCAGCTGCTTCCTTCGCAGCTCTTTCTAAATGTGAATGTTGTTTAGCAAGTTGTTCTACCATGTCCTCTAACCTTAAACGTTGTTCATGTTCATGTTGCAACATTTTTTGCCATTTTCTTCCTTGTGTTTGAGCTAATTGTAAATATTCATTGCAAGCATTAATCATAGCATTTGAAGTTATTCGAAAAAGTGTGGCTCTTTCATTTACTGCTTTAAATTTTCCAGCTGTATCTGTAAAGTTTTCTAATTGTTCTAATTCTGAAAGAGAACGTTGCAATGCTGTTCCATGTTTAAGTATTAAATCGTTGCAAGTATTAAGGTCTTCCAATTTAGTACTTAAAACTTTCAGAACAGTTTGCAGTTCATTTTTATCAGGTTGAGCAGGCATCATTTCATACTCTTCATCATCTTCTGGAGAATTTACACCTGAAGTAGCAGCTGCTTCCTTCGCAGCTCTTTCTAAATGTGAATGTTGTTTAGCAAGTTGTTCTACCATGTCCTCTAACCTTAAACGTTGTTCATGTTCATGTTGCAACATTTTTTGCCATTTTCTTCCTTGTGTTTGAGCTAATTGTAAATATTCATTGCAAGCATTAATCATAGCATTTGAAGTTATTCGAAAAAGTGTGGCTCTTTCATTTACTGCTTTAAATTTTCCAGCTGTATCTGTAAAGTTTTCTAATTGTTCTAATTCTGAAAGAGAACGTTGCAATGCTGTTCCATGTTTAAGTATTAAATCGTTGCAAGTATATAGCTGATGATGAACTTTACAGATACAGCTGGAAAATTTAAAGCAGTAAATGAAAGAGCCACACTTTTTCGAATAACTTCAAATTCTATCATTATTTCTGTATGATAATTTAAAAAAAAATTTGAACACATTCTCACTGATTATAAATGAATTCCGACTTAAAGAAGTACTTTAATTTAAATGTTTATAAAATAAAAATTGTCTTATATGAATCACTTTTTTTTTGTTTTGTATTTGGAAAAAACATTATAAAAAGTATATTAAATTTAAATTTTTTAATCAGGAAATTATTATTGTTTATATTTTTTATATCCCAAAAATATTCCATATTTTTGGGATATAAAAAATAAGAAATAAATTTTCAATTCAATTAAAAAATTCAATAAGAAATAAATTTTATAAAATAGTTTAAAATTTTGAAATAATTAACATTGTGACTGCAGGTTGGCATCTCTTTGATGCTCTTGTCAGAATGACACCACTGTGTCCAGTTCTACAGACACAGAAGCCATGCTGGCTGTTTATTTTCGTTGAAACATAATAATGAAAATGGTTGCATGCATTGGTTTGGAATGGAAGATTGGTCTATGAAAAAACATTACAGAAGTAAATCACACAGATACTAGTTTAAAAAAAACAAATACCCATTCATTTGTTAAAGGAAATACAATTTTTTAATAGCAAAACAAAACAGACATAGACATTGTCACTTTGCATGTGAGAGAGAGTTTACATTAAATCACACGTTGTCATAAATATCTGGAGTTAGAAGAGTTATAATTGTTTTGATAGTCTTTCAAGGAGGGTTTACATATGAGAGTTCTTGACACTCGGGATAGTTTGGAGATAGGCAAAGAATTATCTATTCATTTTAGGGGAAAACAAATTATCTGAAATCAAAGTAGAGACGTAGTCATAGCTGGCAGAGAGGATATTCCATTGTTGGAGGAGATGATATTTTATCATTAGAGGCACAGGGTTGATTATTCCAGTTAAGGAACCGGTGACAACTGTCCGACCTGGTCATTAATTGTATATAAAATGGCAGAATACGGGTGGCATGTTGGAAGATTGCAGTAAAGTGTTCCTTTTAATGCTGAGAACACATAAGAAGAAACACACTCAAGTAGCCAATAGCTATTAAGCATATCAACTTGATAGATATTGCTGCCAACGAAATTATATATTGGCAAAACTTTTCTTTTTTGAAAAAGTTTCATTTGTTAAGTCTGGGTTCTCACAGTATTATTAACTTTTAAAATAAATTATTGATAAAAAAAATTTTTTTTTACAGTGATTCTGATACTGACATATATGAAGCTGCAAAGAGACCAAGAACTGATGATATCACCTATGCTAAAAGTAATTATTCAATTTATTAAATTTATAATTTTGAATTAAATATTGTATGAAATGCATATGCACGTGTGTTTTTATATGTACTGACATTGTTTATTATTAAAAATTTTGTTACAATAAACACTTATACGCATAAAGAATAGAATAAAATTCAAAAATCATTTTATTTTATTCCTATTTGTATTTTAATCTATTTACTATAAACAAATATCATGATGACAGAGATGACAGTATTTTAATTTGTGTGCTATATTATGATATTTGTTTATAGCACATAAATTAAAATTTAAATGGGAATAAAATAAAATGTGAGAAGCATTTTATTCTTATTTAATGATTAATTATACTTTTTATCATTTCCATAATTATCAGATGAGTAGAGACATGATGATGTATTTGATCATTCAACCAAATTTTAATTTGTTTATATAGCTGATGATGAACTGGCAGATTCAAGAATGAGTCTACAGTTAGTGAAAAGTTTTTACTTTAATATTAAATTATCATTAATAAATTGTATTGCATTCGAAAATTAGATTAAATCAGAATGTGGCTATATTTGATTTTCATCATTTTAATTTTACATTATAAGTTATAAAACTATCTAAAATGATCTTTTACACTAATTATTATTAGTAAATATAGTGAATCTGTGTTTTCTTGTTATTGCATCAAATTTAAAAAAAATCATATACACAAAATACAGTGATTTCTTTATTTACATATTAATTAATTAAGTCTCTTGCATTTTATGTTTGTGTAAAAACAAAAATAATCATTAAAAAAATGTGATGATAAGCCTCCAAGAATCATCTTTACTGGAATATATTGTTACAAAATAAGAAAAACTAAGCACAAAAGTAAAAAATCCAGCAACGAGTTGCTTAACTTTTCTGGCATTATTATAAAAAAATAAAAAGCTTAATTTTGAGGGTAGAGATGGGTTTTATAAAGAAAATGTAAATTATAATAATGAGTAAAATCATCATTAAGTCCAACCTACTGGAGATACACACAACCCCCATTATCTCCACATCACCTTGACCCTTAATCATCAAAATTTAGTAGCATCAATCCCTCCTGATAAACAAACTTCCCTACAAAATTTCGGAAATTTTCAACAAAAAGCACAGAAGTTATTAAGCTTCAAAGAGGGTAAACAAAATTGTGCCCCACATGCACACAGACACACATACTCTAGTATCCATACATACAGAAATTTTCCCCAAATTTTTTTGCATTTTGACATTTCAAGGTGTCCTGAGTTCAAAAGTGTAAAAATCTTGGGGGGCATTTTTTATCATTCGCCATGCTTTCCCTCTTACATATAACAGCCAAGAAAGTAAAAATTACATCTAAAGGTTACACAAATAGAGATAGGTATTGCTGTTCTAGATGAAACAAAACAATGAAATAATTTATGTAGCCCAAAAAGTAGGCAATGGGCCAAAGTAAAACAAGCATAGCCCATTTTGGCAGTCAAATCTGGCAATGTTCCTTAGCACTCAAGTGGTTAAAATCAGAAGTAAATATGACAATCTGGCAATTTATCTAACATTGTATTGTAAAGCAGCCACTCGTTTGGCCAGCCATATTATAAAACATGACATGTCATTCAGTCCGGCAGAATTTGGTTTAGCCTCTTTGTAAAGTGGCTGTACAGGTAACCCCCGTATAACACGGGAGTTACGTTCCAAAAAATTGCCGTGTTATGTGAATCCGTGTTATACGAAACAAAGAACTAGTGCAAAAAGGGGAGTTAGGTTCTAAACATTAAAAAACGTGCTGTTAAATCCTTATTTAAATCGGATTTATTATTCATTTTTTTCATAGGTAAAATACTTATTTATTATTTAAGTAAATATTTTACCAGAGGATTATTCATCCTATATGATGATCTCAGCATGAGCATCATCAACCGGTAACAGTTTTTGGGTGTGTTCATTAATAGCGGTCGCTCTGCAATGGGAGTGCATTGCTGTTTGTAGGCATTTAGGAACAATGATGACAGAAAGATGGCGGCGCCCAAACTATCGATAGTATCGTGATGAAGGAATCTAATTCTAAAATGAACTTTTAGAGGCAAAAGAAGTGTCCCAATTGTAAATTTTAACCATTAAATGAATTATTGTTGAAAGAGCATTCAAAGTAGCCACGTAAACAACTAGAATACTCACGCAGAGTTACGCAAAAGTATAAAAGAACACACCCTTTATTACATTTCATGTTGTACAAGGGTTTTACCCAATTCTCGAACCATGTTAGAGCGAACCCATGTTATAAAACCACTGTGTTATATGGGGGATGTTCCCAATTCTCGAACCATGTTAGAGTGAATCCGTGCTATAGAAGTACCGTGTTATACGGGGGGGTTACCTGTACATTATTTAGCTTCATTACAAAATGGTGCAGTTTAATCAAATGGCTAGGCACTTTTGTAGTGTGGCTAAATTAACAATCCAGCTACAACATATATTTTTTAAATATAATTTCTCACATATACAGTATATACAGTGGTACCTCAGTATACGTCTGCTTTAGAATACGTCCAATTCGGAATACATCCTGTTTGGACGAAACAAATTTTGCTCGGTATATGACTTTTGTTCAGTATACGACTTAATTCAATTATACATGCCATCTATGAACAAGTAGCACTATCGGTGTATTAGACCAGACTAGACGTTCACAGTGCCAAGGTTTATAACTTTGTTAAATTTCTACTGATTTTAATTTGTAAGTAAAATTTTATCATTTTTATTAATCATGAATTGCAAAAAGGCAACAGAAAAATAAAAAAATGACTAGAATCACAATGAAACTGAAAAAAGAGATTGTTGAGAAATATGAAGGTAGCATGCATGTTCGAGATTTAACTGTTGCATACCATATTCCGAGAACGACAATATTGACAATCATGAAAAATAAAGACATTATTAAATTTGCTAACGTTGCAAAAGGGGTTAAATCAATTTCTTAACAGAGATCGAACACATTAGATCATGTTGCGAAATTGCTTTTGCTTTGGATAACAGAAAAACAGTGTGCTGGCGACAGCATATCAGAAGCAATTATTTGAGAGAAAGCTAAAAAGATACATGCTGATCTCATGAAAAATCAAGCAGGAACTAGCCAGGAAAGCGAGGTGTTTAAAGCCAGCCACTTTTTTTTTTTTACATGAGAACAAATTAATCATTTTTACATTACTTCTTATGGAAAAGGTTGGTTCGGTATACGTCCTATTCGGTATAAGTCCAAACATCAGGAACGGATTAAGGTCGTATACCGAGGTTCCACTGTATATTTTATTATATAGTTTATATTTTATAAATGAAATCAAACAGAAAGAGATCATCAGTAAAACTGATGAAAAGATTTAAAGGCATAATTGGCAAGGATGAATCACAAATACAGTATATCTGTAAAGCTTAAATATAGGAAAAAAACAATACATAAAATTTATATATCATATTTACTCAAATATAAAATGTCATCAAGCCTAAGATACCTTAATCTGTACATCCTCACCTATAGATATTTAAAAAAAAAAATTAGACAATGACATAAATTTATGTCAACAGAATCAGTTCTATTCACACATTTGTTCAGTATTTATTGCACAATAAAATAAGTTCTATAACACTGTCTTTCATGGTATCAGAGTAAAAAATATCTTCACTTTCCATGTTAGGCTCTTCTAAATCAACACGAGATTTTATGATCATACATTCCTACATCAATCATTCTCATTGTTGTTTGAAGCATTGGAAATAGAATATTTGGAAGAGTACAGCACAACTTTTCATGAGATTTTAATAGTATGATGTCACTGTAACAGACTGATGAGATTAAGCAAAGTTGATCTCTGAAGTATTTACTATTATGAATATTGGTCTAATAGAACCATTAAAATGATGTAATGGAATTAGTAATGAAGAAATAAGATACAAGGCAACATTAGAGATTGTTAATTATTATGCATTATGTCAAATCTAAGAGAGACAATTTTCAGGAGATACTAAAATCTGAAAAAAGTGTGTCTTATATATTAAAGTCTAAGTAGCTATTGCAAAATCTATTATAGAACCTGATGATAACCTCAAATCTATCAATATAATAATGTTCCATTTACATTTTTGCATAATATTGCCTATTAACTAAGGTTTGTAATTTTTCATGTGTTCTGTCTGTCTGTCTTTAATCTCAAGAACAGTGTTAGATAGATGGAAATCAAGACCAGATATGAAAAGCTTATGGCAAGAGGCCACAATTAACTATATACGAACTTTCAGGATAGACCAGAAATCATGTGATTTCAACTCAAAAAGTTTTCCCTGAATGGAGTTATATAAATGACTGGCATGATTGTGTTATTGTAAAGAAAAGGATAATGTACAAGGACAAGACACTACTAATTTCAGATCAAGAATATATATTTTAAATTAAATAAATTAAGAATATGATTAAAAATTGCAGCCTGGCATTGTGATAAACAAAAAAAAATTATTGTAACATTTCAAATTAATTTAATGTCAGAGTGTTAAAATTAATAGCAATTTTATTTTTTCACTTTAAGCAAACCTCTGAAGATGGTTGTTTGAAAACACCAGAGTTTATTTCTATATATGATAATTTTTAATTCTAATATAGCATTTTGTTGACTTTTATTGATTAGAATATAACACTTTGAACTTTTCTTTGTAGATTAGTATATATTCTCACATTAATGATAAGATAATACTTATTTAGTCTTTCCATTATCAAAACTTATCAATATGAATAATATATGTGATTATAACTTAACTACACTTCAAAAATATATTACCTGAGCATCATCAGCAAATTTCTTTTTTGCAACTCTCTCCAGACTTTTTTTCATATTAATTTCAGATTTCTTTAAAATTTCATCACTTACATCAACTAAAATTACTTCATGACCTGTTTGAGCTGCTACCTATATAAACATTAAAAATAAAAAAAGTAAATATTTATATTCGTAATATTAATAAAAGTAATGATNAACAATTAAGAAATTTAGATTCGGTATCTTTTTATAAAACGAATTTGATTCAAAAATCTTGTATAATAATGTGAGAATTTGAGCACTTTTGTGAATTTTGGAACTTCGATAATTTTTTCTCATCATTATTTCCCCTTTTCCTGCAATTTTTACGTCACTTCGAAAAGTGAATTTTTAAACTTTTCTAATGAGAGAAGAAAAAAACAACCCACACACTTCCTATGTCGTGCAATGTTATGAACGAAAATGTCGATCTAGATGTCCATATAAGGAAAAATCATTACTAAGGTGCAAGACTAACTCTGACCTTAGTCACCTCCAGTAATTACTTCAGTTGGTTTGACAGATGTTATCAAATTTATGAGATGGACGAAGTGACAATACTGGATAGAAGAAGTAATAAATCTATAGAAAGGTTTCAAGTTGTGACAAGTAACATAAATACATCCTGGACACAAGTCAACCTTAGATGAGGCTGCATCAGATTTTGTATTAGTCAGACCTTCCAGGACTTGTATAAAAAAAGCTTAGACACAGTCCTCTGGGCTATGTTCAAATCCTTTTTATAACCGGATCATCATCAGGAGTCACCAGACCCATACTGCCATTCTGTCCGTCGTCACCCTTGCCATCCCACCTGCCTAATAGCCATATCCTGACCTGGTTGAAAGGAGATGCCAGTTGAACCAGGTGTGTTTCAATGACAACCCATACTACGAGATCAGAACCCATGAGGTAAACACTTAGACAAAATTTTGACTCTCTCTCTCTGAGAAGTCCCTCTTAGAAAGGTTTTTCTCCTCTTAGTTTATCTTAGAGAATAGAACTAAGATGTTCCATTGGGAAGACGAATCATTGTCACAACCTAGAATAGAATTTTTGAGTAATCCAGTATGGTTTTATCTAAATTAATAGTTCTAGAAGCAAAGATAAGACAGAGGTCTGGGTAGCCTAACTGACAACACATCTACATGGTAAGTGGGTATTGTAGGTTTGAGTCCCGCTTCAGGCCATTCTTTTCTTCCAGAATCTTCTAAATTAATTATTATATTTATCAAGAGATGGTACCTAACACTTACCTGTAGCCAAATTACCTGACATTTAATTATTAATAGTATGATTATTATAGCCCAATATAATCTGGCAATTATTTGGTGGCAATCTAAAGTTGGGTTAATCAATGTTTATATTTGCATTCATAAACAATATAAGGTATGTAGAAATGCTTTTAGATCACCACAAAATCTAATATTAATTTTCATCTCAGTACTGGTATTATAATAAATACAGTACATCATTATTTATATTCAAAATCTGTAGTAAAATGCATTCTTGCAAAGATCAAAATCATCAAAAGACTTCAATAACAGTTTTATGGATAACAATTTTTTTCAATTTTAATAATGTTAGCATGAATAAATTTAATACCTCTTTCTAACATCCTGATTGCTTCCAACATGTAAGGAATCAAAAGACGATTCACAATAAAACCTGGAGTATCCTAAATAAAGAATATTTGAAATAAGTAAAATTTATAATTAATTCATTAATACTTGTGTTATAATATTTATATACTAATTTTTTAGTATTTATAGGGGAGACTGTTCCACATCTGGCCACTTTTTGATTTACAATCATTTCTTAGGAATGGAGGCTATAGAGAATGAATTTATACATTGTCACTTGGCCTGGTCTATTGTCCAACTTTTGAAGCAACCATTCTGTCAGTATCAAAAGTAATTTAAAAAAAAAAAAAAATTTCCAATCAGGGAACAGGATGATACATGACCAGATAGTGGCATTCATCTTCAGGCAAAGGCCAAAGAAAATTCAAATATCACACAAATTTTGTAAAAAATTTAAAACTCATTCTTTACTTAATTACAAAATGACTTGAGAATCAAAAGAGTGACACTTATTTGACAATATAAAAATTTAAAATTTTTGTTTTTGAATACCTAATATCAACTTTACACTTAATCATAAGCTATATATTGTAATAATACGATATTTTAATATTAACCAAAGAGAGATTAAATAAAAAGATTGCTGACACTAAATAAAAGATGAAGAAACTACAAATATTGGTGGCGGCAGCATGGAAAATTGTCATTTGTGTCAACTAATATTTCTTTTTTGTTTGTAAATACCTACAAATGATTTTTCTTTGCACAATATGTGACAATATTAGATACAGACTCATCCTGTATTTCTACTCAGGCAATAATATTTTGGCAATGGCATTTTGAAGATTACCCTACCCAGAAAACTTCTACTGATTTAAATGTAGCTCTTACTAATGATTAATTTTCAAAAGATAAAATGCTGTCACAAACTTGTTGCAACAAATTCCATTCCACTACTTGATACATCCAGTAGTGGAATGTTTGGTTATGGACACATTGTGTATTTTTTGTTGTGTGATAGTGACAAAACTGGCAATTTAACAACATAACAGGGAACTACATGCACCCAATAGACATATTTCTTCACAGCTTAGTCTCAACTGAAATGCTGCAAAACATATTTGAGAATCTTTTCTCAGTCAGTATGTTTTGCAGCATTTTTATTAACTTTTAAATGTGTTAATTTTATTTAATAAGAAATTAATTGCTATTTAATACTTGATTCTAAATGTCAAGACTCTAATTTAGACTAATTTCTTTAAACCAAATCCAATAGCTGAATTTAATTGAATCTCTAAACAATTTAAATTTAGTTATTTTTACATTGTATTCAAACTCCAAAATAAAGCTGTAGGAAGTTTAAAATGTAAACTTTTGACAGGTCCACAATAAAATCTCTCTTATCAAGGCTTACTTTCCTTGAATTGTAGATTGTAAAACTTTGGGATGAATCTGAATTGTTTTAAGATATTGTGAAGTTAAGAAACTAAGATAAGTTCTTGATTAGATATTTTTGAATATTTTGTGTAATTTTAGTTATTGAAATTCTAAATAGCATAGTCAATTTTAAAAGACAAGAATTTTTTAAATTGGAATTATGATCACAATTACTGGAGTGTTTAATTTGCACAAATAAATGACATTTTTGGTATTACATTATCATTTATGTTAATCTTTTGTGATTTCTTACATTTTACCCAGAGATCTATTAATTCCATACTTTTTGCTCACTTGGTTAAATTTTGCTTATACTGCTTAAATGTTAATAAAACAGAATTGCTGTGATGAAGTTTATACTATAAATAATTTTGGTTAATATTTAATAGCTTTTTTCATTGTATTTGGAATTAAACATAAGAGAAAGTGTTCTTTTATGTCATGATTCCAAACTTTTTCCTGGCATTTTGAATTTATTATTTACAGGAAATGTTGCCTAAGACAGTAATTGCCACTCCAATACAACAAACAATAAACAAAACCCATTGAAATATGTACTAAAATATATATGTTTACACATAATACAAAAAAAAAGAAAAAAGAAAGAAAAAATTTTATTTTATCTCAAAATGTGAAATTGTTACAATCAATTTTGTTCTACTGATTTAAATTTATCATAGTAATAATTATGATTACACAAAAGTAACAAACAAACCTTGCAAGAAACTGTTACTTTTCCCATATTTTTACCGAATTCCATCATTTTGTTATAAGTTTCATCACTTGTTTCTGGAATTCTTACAACCTAAAAATTAAAATTTTGCATATTTTATAATTAAATTCCTATAAAATAAAACTCATCTAGATATTTTACTTTTACCTCTAACAATTTCATAACAGGTACAGGATTAAAAAAGTGTAATCCACCAAACCGATCTTTTCTCTGAGTAGCTTTAGCAATTTCTCCAATTGGAAGCGAAGAAGTATTTGAAGCAAAAATAGTAGATCTATTTAATCAATCATTCATAATATCAATTGAATTAGCTAACTAAATAATAGTTTCTATTAAATAAATTTGTTTACAAATGAACTATTCATTTTCCAAACCCTATCATAATGAATGTTAAATTTAACAATATTTAATAATTTAATGACCTATAAAAGTATTGATATAACAAATAATAAGAAATAATGTATTAATTCTAAAAACTAATCAGCTAATGATATAATTTATAATAGAATATTATCTTGAAATTCAACGCACATTTATGTGTAACGTCATTCAGTTTTAAAATTTCTTTTTAATAAAAAATGTTTGAAAATTATTATACTAAAAATATTAAATAAGCATAATTTAAAAAATCACCCTGCTTATACAGAATAATGTTTAGCTTAGCTACAAATATTTTGTAAATTAAATTGTGCAAATTGAATATTATAGACAAAATAACAGAAAATAAAAAATATTAATTACAATATTAAGAATTTGACAATATGTATGGAAAAAATAATACATTATAAATACATTTTTCAAATATCTGTAATTAATATTTTAATTATTTTAACTTTATAATTAATTATGATACTTACTGTGGAGCATTTATATCCAAGCCTTCAAATAATTTTTGCTTAATATCTAAATTCTCAATAATTGCTTCAATTACAAGATCTGCCGTTTTTACTGCTTCGTTAGGATTTGTCATGGTTTTCAAATGCTTCAATGTATCTGTTACAAATTTCTGGCCTGCCTGAATATTAAGTTAAATAATATAAAATTTAAATTGAAGATTCTAAATGTTTAAGATCAATTAAAGTTCATGCATACATTATATATGTATAATTTAGATACAAAAATATGAGAAATTGCATTTAAAAAAACAATTATTATGTATATATATATATGTTATAGAGGGATTGTTGATTTAGATGCTTTACAAAGCATCTAGCTCTTTGATCAAACAGTGCCATTTTGTAATAAAGCTAACAAATGATCAGCCATATTGTCGTGACATTGCATTTTACAATGCAGCTGGCTATGTTTAGCTGTATTGTGAAGTAATGACAATCTCAGCCTCTTTACTAAAATGTAAATTATTCACTAAAGTTAGACACAAAAATTTTAGGAAGTATAAAAACATATATTGTAAAATCAAAATTATTTATTTATAAACTTGAAAATTATAAAAAGAGTATTGTATTTGAATTACTTCCCGATTTTAGAAAATTATATGATTATTTATAACTAATTGACTTAACTGTTCATTGGTCATTTAAAATCTTTAAAAACATTAAGTATTCTTAACGTTTAGGCACTGTATTTTATTATAATTACAAATAACTTTTGTAAAATCGCAACATAAATAAAGAAAAGTAGTTTGACATACTAAACAGTGAAAAATTACATTATAAAAATGAGAAAACACTTTAAAACTGTTAAATTTCTTCAATAGTTACAAAATAATATTAAATATATCAAATAAATGTATTATTTATTAATGCAAGATAAACTAGGATGACATTTAGATCTATAGAGAACTTTCTTTTTAAAAGATGTGCATCTATTAGTCTGACATTGATTTTTCCCAGGTTTGCATGAGCATTTTTGAATTCCTTGACCACCAAATAATGATTGGTTAGTCATGGCTTCTCACAAATATATTGATATTTCATCATTATAATCATTCAACGACACTTGTAATTCATAATGACAAAATCAATTTCTAATTACTCTGGATTTAATCCCTCTCTTGTAAACTCTTTCTGAAATCAAAACAGTTTTTCCCATAATATTTTTGGTACATTAAGAAAAATACTTTTTTCAATATCTAATAGGGAAAGTATTTTAGCAGGATCGTCAACCATCTTCTCTGTGACCATTTAACTTTTTCTCTTTCAATTTGTATATTATGCTTGCTTTTGCATAAAAAATAAACCTGCAACAAGTTGCTCAACTTTCCTGGTAACATTTAAAATTTTGGTGGCAACATCTATTATTATATTTTATTAAAAACTTTTTCTACTTTTAACTACAGTATTATAAAAAAATAAAAAGCTTAATTTTGAGGGTAGAGATGGGTTTTATAAAGAAAATGTAAATTATAATAATGAGTAAAATCATCATTAAGTCCAACCTACTGGAGATACACACAACCCCCATTATCTCCACATCACCTTGACCCTTAATCATCAAAATTTAGTAGCATCAATCCCTCCTGATAAACAAACTTCCCTACAAAATTTCGGAAATTTTCAACAAAAAGCACAGAAGTTATTAAGCTTCAAAGAGGGTAAACAAAATTGTGCCCCACATACACACAGACACACATACTCTAGTATCCATACATACAGAAATTTTCCCCAAATTTTTTTGCATTTTGACATTTCAAGGTGTCCTGAGTTCAAAAGTGTAAAAATCTTGGGGGGCATTTTTTATCATTCGCCATGCTTTCCCTCTTACATATAACAGCCAAGAAAGTAAAAATTACATCTAAAGGTTACACAAATAGAGATAGGTATTGCTGTTCTAGATGAAACAAAACAATGAAATAATTTATGTAGCCCAAAAAGTAGGCAATGGGCCAAAGTAAAACAAGCATAGCCCATTTTGGCAGTCAAATCTGGCAATGTTCCTTAGCACTCAAGTGGTTAAAATCAGAAGTAAATATGACAATCTGGCAATTTATCTAACATTGTATTGTAAAGCAGTCACTCGTTTGGCCAGCCATATTATAAAACATGACATGTCATTCAGTCCGGCAGAATTTGGTTTAGCCTCTTTGTAAAGTGGCTGTACAGGTAACCCCCGTATAACACGGGAGTTACGTTCCAAAAAATTGCCGTGTTATACGAAACAAAGAACTAGTGCAAAAAGGGGAGTTAGGTTCTAAACATTAAAAAACGTGCTGTTAAATCCTTATTTAAATCGGATTTATTATTCATTTTTTTCATAGGTAAAATACTTATTTATTATTTAAGTAAATATTTTACCAGAGGATTATTCATCCTATATGATGATCTCAGCATGAGCATCATCAACCGGTAACAGTTTTTGGGTGTGTTCATTAATAGCGGTCGCTCTGCAATGGGAGTGCATTGCTGTTTGTAGGCATTTAGGAACAATGATGACAGAAAGATGGCGGCGCCCAAACTATCGATAGTATCGTGATGAAGGAATCTAATTCTAAAATGAACTTTTAGAGGCAAAAGAAGTGTCCCAATTGTAAATTTTAACCATTAAATGAATTATTGTTGAAAGAGCATTCAAAGTAGCCACGTAAACAACTAGAATACTCACGCAGAGTTACGCAAAAGTATAAAAGAACGCACCCTTTATTACATTTCATGTTGTACAAGGGTTTTACCCAATTCTCGAACCATGTTAGAGCGAACCCATGTTATAAAACCACTGTGTTATATGGGGGATGTTCCCAATTCTCGAACCATGTTAGAGTGAATCCGTGCTATAGAAGTACCGTGTTATACGGGGGGGTTACCTGTACATTATTTAGCTTCATTACAAAATGGTGCAGTTTAATCAAATGGCTAGGCACTTTTGTAGTGTGGCTAAATTAACAATCCAGCTACAACATATATTTTTTAAATATAATTTCTCACATATACAGTATATACAGTGGTACCTCAGTATACGTCTGCTTTAGAATACGTCCAATTCGGAATACATCCTGTTTGGACGAAACAAATTTTGCTCGGTATATGACTTTTGTTCAGTATACGACTTAATTCAATTATACATGCCATCTATGAACAAGTAGCACTATCGGTGTATTAGACCAGACTAGACGTTCACAGTGCCAAGGTTTATAACTTTGTTAAATTTCTACTGATTTTAATTTGTAAGTAAAATTTTATCATTTTTATTAATCATGAATTGCAAAAAGGCAACAGAAAAATAAAAAAATGACTAGAATCACAATGAAACTGAAAAAAGAGATTGTTGAGAAATATGAAGGTAGCATGCATGTTCGAGATTTAACTGTTGCATACCATATTCCGAGAACGACAATATTGACAATCATGAAAAATAAAGACATTATTAAATTTGCTAACGTTGCAAAAGGGGTTAAATCAATTTCTTAACAGAGATCGAACACATTAGATCATGTTGCGAAATTGCTTTTGCTTTGGATAACAGAAAAACAGTGTGCTGGCGACAGCATATCAGAAGCAATTATTTGAGAGAAAGCTAAAAAGATACATGCTGATCTCATGAAAAATCAAGCAGGAACTAGCCAGGAAAGCGAGGTGTTTAAAGCCAGCCACTTTTTTTTTTTTACATGAGAACAAATTAATCATTTTTACATTACTTCTTATGGAAAAGGTTGGTTCGGTATACGTCCTATTCGGTATAAGTCCAAACATCAGGAACGGATTAAGGTCGTATACCGAGGTTCCACTGTATATTTTATTATATAGTTTATATTTTATAAATGAAATCAAACAGAAAGAGATCATCAGTAAAACTGATGAAAAGATTTAAAGGCATAATTGGCAAGGATGAATCACAAATACAGTATATCTGTAAAGCTTAAATATAGGAAAAAAACAATACATAAAATTTATATATCATATTTACTCAAATATAAAATGTCATCAAGCCTAAGATACCTTAATCTGTACATCCTCACCTATAGATATTTAAAAAAAAAAATTAGACAATGACATAAATTTATGTCAACAGAATCAGTTCTATTCACACATTTGTTCAGTATTTATTGCACAATAAAATAAGTTCTATAACACTGTCTTTCATGGTATCAGAGTAAAAAATATCTTCACTTTCCATGTTAGGCTCTTCTAAATCAACACGAGATTTTATGATCATACATTCCTACATCAATCATTCTCATTGTTGTTTGAAGCATTGGAAATAGAATATTTGGAAGAGTACAGCACAACTTTTCATGAGATTTTAATAGTATGATGTCACTGTAACAGACTGATGAGATTAAGCAAAGTTGATCTCTGAAGTATTTACTATTATGAATATTGGTCTAATAGAACCATTAAAATGATGTAATGGAATTAGTAATGAAGAAATAAGATACAAGGCAACATTAGAGATTGTTAATTATTATGCATTATGTCAAATCTAAGAGAGACAATTTTCAGGAGATACTAAAATCTGAAAAAAGTGTGTCTTATATATTAAAGTCTAAGTAGCTATTGCAAAATCTATTATAGAACCTGATGATAACCTCAAATCTATCAATATAATAATGTTCCATTTACATTTTTGCATAATATTGCCTATTAACTAAGGTTTGTAATTTTTCATGTGTTCTGTCTGTCTGTCTTTAATCTCAAGAACAGTGTTAGATAGATGGAAATCAAGACCAGATATGAAAAGCTTATGGCAAGAGGCCACAATTAACTATATACGAACTTTCAGGATAGACCAGAAATCATGTGATTTCAACTCAAAAAGTTTTCCCTGAATGGAGTTATATAAATGACTGGCATGATTGTGTTATTGTAAAGAAAAGGATAATGTACAAGGACAAGACACTACTAATTTCAGATCAAGAATATATATTTTAAATTAAATAAATTAAGAATATGATTAAAAATTGCAGCCTGGCATTGTGATAAACAAAAAAAAATTATTGTAACATTTCAAATTAATTTAATGTCAGAGTGTTAAAATTAATAGCAATTTTATTTTTTCACTTTAAGCAAACCTCTGAAGATGGTTGTTTGAAAACACCAGAGTTTATTTCTATATATGATAATTTTTAATTCTAATATAGCATTTTGTTGACTTTTATTGATTAGAATATAACACTTTGAACTTTTCTTTGTAGATTAGTATATATTCTCACATTAATGATAAGATAATACTTATTTAGTCTTTCCATTATCAAAACTTATCAATATGAATAATATATGTGATTATAACTTAACTACACTTCAAAAATATATTACCTGAGCATCATCAGCAAATTTCTTTTTTGCAACTCTCTCCAGACTTTTTTTCATATTAATTTCAGATTTCTTTAAAATTTCATCACTTACATCAACTAAAATTACTTCATGACCTGTTTGAGCTGCTACCTATATAAACATTAAAAATAAAAAAAGTAAATATTTATATTCGTAATATTAATAAAAGTAATGATTAATATTCCAGAATGTTATAAAATATTCAAAAGTATTATATTAATTGATACTAATCACTAAATTCATAGATATTTATTTCATAAACAAAAAAAAAAAACATCAAATATAGAATTTAAGTGAAATTTAATAATATGGGAATAACTCTCTCTAAAGAATCAATATTAAAGCCAAACAATTGTCAGATTAAATTGACCTATATTACTGCTACCATTAATAAATACTAATTTAACCTAAAGATAGATATTAGGTGCCACCTCTTATTAAATTTAATAATTATAATTAAATATTTATTAAATAATGAAAATAACTGACCCAGAATGGGACTTGAACCCATATCTGCATGTGTGACAATTGCAGATTCAAGTCCCACTCCAGGCCAATTCTTTCCTTCCAAAACCTTCTAAATTATTTAATAAATATTAATTAATTATAATTATTAAATTTAATAAGAGAGGGTGTCTAACACTACCTCTAGGCCAAACTGCATAACATTTAATAATAGCAATAATATATCCTGATTTAATCCGGCAATCGTTTGGCTTTAATATATCAGGTTTTGTTTGTACTAGAACCATTAGGAGACAAATTAGAACATGAAAACCTATTTTCCCCCATATTACTGTGGACATACAAGGTAAATGAACTACAGTGCTAGTGGTTAATTCCACTAGCATTGTCGCACATTCACCCCTATACGTCCACATCTAGCATTGTAGTACGTATGTGATACAATGCTAGTGATTACTTCCACTAGCATTGTAGCACATACATACTACGTCATCTTCTCATGTGCCATACATTAAAATAAAATGTTCTTTTTCATTTATGGCCATCTGATCACTCTACTTACAACCATAACAGGGTTCTACCACTTCCAGAAAAGACAAAATCCTGTGCAAGTCTTAAACCAGGCATGGCCAATATATGGCCTGTGTAATGAATTTATGTGGCCACGATTAATCTTTCAATATTATCTACTCAAGTCCAAATAGCTCGATAAAAAATTCTGACGCAAAAAAAAGAGGTCAACAACTCACTGTGCATTTAGAGTTAACGCTCCATCACAAATCTCTTAAGTACAGCATAGAATGTTGATAATGCATGATAATGTGAAAAATGTATCTGTAATCTCTATGTACAATTTAATCTCTATGGGATGAGATCTCGCACCACCTCAAAATCCTCCTACGGCAACCTCTGGTTCGGCCTGTGAAAAAAGTTTTCTTTCCAATTCGGCCCGGCAAAAACTATTGGCCACCCATCTTAAACCAATATAATTTGTTGGTCAATCTTTACCTATGTCGTCATGGCCATACAGTGGGGCCATGACGGTGCACATAGATAAAGATTAACCAATTTGGTCAAGGTATGTGCAAAATTATGTTCTTAAATAATGTATATACAAAAATAAAAATTTAATGAATTAACTGAAAAGGTAAAATGTAAGGTCAATTTCAATAAACCAAATAAAAGTATTACCTGGGCTATTCCAGAGCCCATCAAGCCTCCTCCAATTACAACAATATTCTTCATTGCTGCCTGGATTCTAGAAGAGGAAGAGAAATGTCTGCATCCTCTTATTGCTCTAATCATATTCATAATTTGAATAAAACTAAAATCTCTAAATTAGAAGAATAACAAAATAAATCTAATAAACGTTCGTAAGTTCATTGACCATCAGCTGGACCGAAGTTGCGACCCACCTCGTGTAGGGCGCCCTCTTAATGTCGAATTTTATTCGTTAATGAATTTTCCGTTTAAAATATTTTTAAAATGAAATTATTATAATTTATAATATTTTCTTTTAGAAAGAATTATTACATTTTAAGTTACGTATCACTTTCGTTGTAGAATATAGCTCGGCGCGTAAAATTAGATGATAGAAGCATCCTATTTTAAAATCTTCTCTACGGGATAATAGAAATTATAGTTAATTTATTAAAAATAATTCGAAATCCTCTTCTTATATACAAAAAACGTTTAATTATCATATTTTTTTTTAGAATATTGATTTTTCTTTTATAAAATAAATTTTCCGATAGAGGGCGAGTATATTTGTTTACATGTGGAAAAGTTTTTAGAGTGATCGTAGCAGAAATGTCGTTGTTTAAAATCAGAACAGCAAATTGGAAATTTTCATTACATCGTCTTATGATGAAAAATTGGCAAGTAAAACATAAAATGTTTTCAAATAATGATAAATATACTTTAATCAATATTAAAGTCATTGTCCATTTAAATATTTTTACATAATTATTATATAATTATTCTCATATAAAAACGGTTTGATAGATCCTAAACAATATTGACATGTGAATCCAATCTGTTAAGGTAAGATTTACCCACCAAATGAGGGGGTCGCCACCCCCCAAAGGGTAGCCCTCCCCCATACGAACAATAAATGTCTAATGAACCACCCACCTACGCGCGACCCTTCGCGAAATATAAGACCCTGAAGATTCGCTTACGTCATATCCGGTCATGTGACATCATGGTCAAAAGGCAGTCTACCATGCGAAAAAAAAAATTTTAATGCGCACTCGCAAACACCTTCCTTAGGTCTCTCTCTCCTCGCGCTTCCCCGCTCCGCCTTCGCCGTCGCCATCTGTCCCTTCTGCGCCTGCCCGCAGTCCACGTCACCCGCCTGAAGTTATCCNATACAAAAATATGAGAAATTGCATTTAAAAAAACAATTATTATGTATATATATATATGTTATAGAGGGATTGTTGATTTAGATGCTTTACAAAGCATCTAGCTCTTTGATCAAACAGTGCCATTTTGTAATAAAGCTAACAAATGATCAGCCATATTGTCGTGACATTGCATTTTACAATGCAGCTGGCTATGTTTAGCTGTATTGTGAAGTAATGACAATCTCAGCCTCTTTACTAAAATGTAAATTATTCACTAAAGTTAGACACAAAAATTTTAGGAAGTATAAAAACATATATTGTAAAATCAAAATTATTTATTTATAAACTTGAAAATTATAAAAAGAGTATTGTATTTGAATTACTTCCCGATTTTAGAAAATTATATGATTATTTATAACTAATTGACTTAACTGTTCATTGGTCATTTAAAATCTTTAAAAACATTAAGTATTCTTAACGTTTAGGCACTGTATTTTATTATAATTACAAATAACTTTTGTAAAATCGCAACATAAATAAAGAAAAGTAGTTTGACATACTAAACAGTGAAAAATTACATTATAAAAATGAGAAAACACTTTAAAACTGTTAAATTTCTTCAATAGTTACAAAATAATATTAAATATATCAAATAAATGTATTATTTATTAATGCAAGATAAACTAGGATGACATTTAGATCTATAGAGAACTTTCTTTTTAAAAGATGTGCATCTATTAGTCTGACATTGATTTTTCCCAGGTTTGCATGAGCATTTTTGAATTCCTTGACCACCAAATAATGATTGGTTAGTCATGGCTTCTCACAAATATATTGATATTTCATCATTATAATCATTCAACGACACTTGTAATTCATAATGACAAAATCAATTTCTAATTACTCTGGATTTAATCCCTCTCTTGTAAACTCTTTCTGAAATCAAAACAGTTTTTCCCATAATATTTTTGGTACATTAAGAAAAATACTTTTTTCAATATCTAATAGGGAAAGTATTTTAGCAGGATCGTCAACCATCTTCTCTGTGACCATTTAACTTTTTCTCTTTCAATTTGTATATTATGCTTGCTTTTGCATAAAAAATAAACCTGCAACAAGTTGCTCAACTTTCCTGGTAACATTTAAAATTTTGGTGGCAACATCTATTATTATATTTTATTAAAAACTTTTTCTACTTTTAACTACAGTATTATAAAAAAATAAAAAGCTTAATTTTGAGGGTAGAGATGGGTTTTATAAAGAAAATGTAAATTATAATAATGAGTAAAATCATCATTAAGTCCAACCTACTGGAGATACACACAACCCCCATTATCTCCACATCACCTTGACCCTTAATCATCAAAATTTAGTAGCATCAATCCCTCCTGATAAACAAACTTCCCTACAAAATTTCGGAAATTTTCAACAAAAAGCACAGAAGTTATTAAGCTTCAAAGAGGGTAAACAAAATTGTGCCCCACATACACACAGACACACATACTCTAGTATCCATACATACAGAAATTTTCCCCAAATTTTTTTGCATTTTGACATTTCAAGGTGTCCTGAGTTCAAAAGTGTAAAAATCTTGGGGGGCATTTTTTATCATTCGCCATGCTTTCCCTCTTACATATAACAGCCAAGAAAGTAAAAATTACATCTAAAGGTTACACAAATAGAGATAGGTATTGCTGTTCTAGATGAAACAAAACAATGAAATAATTTATGTAGCCCAAAAAGTAGGCAATGGGCCAAAGTAAAACAAGCATAGCCCATTTTGGCAGTCAAATCTGGCAATGTTCCTTAGCACTCAAGTGGTTAAAATCAGAAGTAAATATGACAATCTGGCAATTTATCTAACATTGTATTGTAAAGCAGTCACTCGTTTGGCCAGCCATATTATAAAACATGACATGTCATTCAGTCCGGCAGAATTTGGTTTAGCCTCTTTGTAAAGTGGCTGTACAGGTAACCCCCGTATAACACGGGAGTTACGTTCCAAAAAATTGCCGTGTTATACGAAACAAAGAACTAGTGCAAAAAGGGGAGTTAGGTTCTAAACATTAAAAAACGTGCTGTTAAATCCTTATTTAAATCGGATTTATTATTCATTTTTTTCATAGGTAAAATACTTATTTATTATTTAAGTAAATATTTTACCAGAGGATTATTCATCCTATATGATGATCTCAGCATGAGCATCATCAACCGGTAACAGTTTTTGGGTGTGTTCATTAATAGCGGTCGCTCTGCAATGGGAGTGCATTGCTGTTTGTAGGCATTTAGGAACAATGATGACAGAAAGATGGCGGCGCCCAAACTATCGATAGTATCGTGATGAAGGAATCTAATTCTAAAATGAACTTTTAGAGGCAAAAGAAGTGTCCCAATTGTAAATTTTAACCATTAAATGAATTATTGTTGAAAGAGCATTCAAAGTAGCCACGTAAACAACTAGAATACTCACGCAGAGTTACGCAAAAGTATAAAAGAACGCACCCTTTATTACATTTCATGTTGTACAAGGGTTTTACCCAATTCTCGAACCATGTTAGAGCGAACCCATGTTATAAAACCACTGTGTTATATGGGGGATGTTCCCAATTCTCGAACCATGTTAGAGTGAATCCGTGCTATAGAAGTACCGTGTTATACGGGGGGGTTACCTGTACATTATTTAGCTTCATTACAAAATGGTGCAGTTTAATCAAATGGCTAGGCACTTTTGTAGTGTGGCTAAATTAACAATCCAGCTACAACATATATTTTTTAAATATAATTTCTCACATATACAGTATATACAGTGGTACCTCAGTATACGTCTGCTTTAGAATACGTCCAATTCGGAATACATCCTGTTTGGACGAAACAAATTTTGCTCGGTATATGACTTTTGTTCAGTATACGACTTAATTCAATTATACATGCCATCTATGAACAAGTAGCACTATCGGTGTATTAGACCAGACTAGACGTTCACAGTGCCAAGGTTTATAACTTTGTTAAATTTCTACTGATTTTAATTTGTAAGTAAAATTTTATCATTTTTATTAATCATGAATTGCAAAAAGGCAACAGAAAAATAAAAAAATGACTAGAATCACAATGAAACTGAAAAAAGAGATTGTTGAGAAATATGAAGGTAGCATGCATGTTCGAGATTTAACTGTTGCATACCATATTCCGAGAACGACAATATTGACAATCATGAAAAATAAAGACATTATTAAATTTGCTAACGTTGCAAAAGGGGTTAAATCAATTTCTTAACAGAGATCGAACACATTAGATCATGTTGCGAAATTGCTTTTGCTTTGGATAACAGAAAAACAGTGTGCTGGCGACAGCATATCAGAAGCAATTATTTGAGAGAAAGCTAAAAAGATACATGCTGATCTCATGAAAAATCAAGCAGGAACTAGCCAGGAAAGCGAGGTGTTTAAAGCCAGCCACTTTTTTTTTTTTACATGAGAACAAATTAATCATTTTTACATTACTTCTTATGGAAAAGGTTGGTTCGGTATACGTCCTATTCGGTATAAGTCCAAACATCAGGAACGGATTAAGGTCGTATACCGAGGTTCCACTGTATATTTTATTATATAGTTTATATTTTATAAATGAAATCAAACAGAAAGAGATCATCAGTAAAACTGATGAAAAGATTTAAAGGCATAATTGGCAAGGATGAATCACAAATACAGTATATCTGTAAAGCTTAAATATAGGAAAAAAACAATACATAAAATTTATATATCATATTTACTCAAATATAAAATGTCATCAAGCCTAAGATACCTTAATCTGTACATCCTCACCTATAGATATTTAAAAAAAAAAATTAGACAATGACATAAATTTATGTCAACAGAATCAGTTCTATTCACACATTTGTTCAGTATTTATTGCACAATAAAATAAGTTCTATAACACTGTCTTTCATGGTATCAGAGTAAAAAATATCTTCACTTTCCATGTTAGGCTCTTCTAAATCAACACGAGATTTTATGATCATACATTCCTACATCAATCATTCTCATTGTTGTTTGAAGCATTGGAAATAGAATATTTGGAAGAGTACAGCACAACTTTTCATGAGATTTTAATAGTATGATGTCACTGTAACAGACTGATGAGATTAAGCAAAGTTGATCTCTGAAGTATTTACTATTATGAATATTGGTCTAATAGAACCATTAAAATGATGTAATGGAATTAGTAATGAAGAAATAAGATACAAGGCAACATTAGAGATTGTTAATTATTATGCATTATGTCAAATCTAAGAGAGACAATTTTCAGGAGATACTAAAATCTGAAAAAAGTGTGTCTTATATATTAAAGTCTAAGTAGCTATTGCAAAATCTATTATAGAACCTGATGATAACCTCAAATCTATCAATATAATAATGTTCCATTTACATTTTTGCATAATATTGCCTATTAACTAAGGTTTGTAATTTTTCATGTGTTCTGTCTGTCTGTCTTTAATCTCAAGAACAGTGTTAGATAGATGGAAATCAAGACCAGATATGAAAAGCTTATGGCAAGAGGCCACAATTAACTATATACGAACTTTCAGGATAGACCAGAAATCATGTGATTTCAACTCAAAAAGTTTTCCCTGAATGGAGTTATATAAATGACTGGCATGATTGTGTTATTGTAAAGAAAAGGATAATGTACAAGGACAAGACACTACTAATTTCAGATCAAGAATATATATTTTAAATTAAATAAATTAAGAATATGATTAAAAATTGCAGCCTGGCATTGTGATAAACAAAAAAAAATTATTGTAACATTTCAAATTAATTTAATGTCAGAGTGTTAAAATTAATAGCAATTTTATTTTTTCACTTTAAGCAAACCTCTGAAGATGGTTGTTTGAAAACACCAGAGTTTATTTCTATATATGATAATTTTTAATTCTAATATAGCATTTTGTTGACTTTTATTGATTAGAATATAACACTTTGAACTTTTCTTTGTAGATTAGTATATATTCTCACATTAATGATAAGATAATACTTATTTAGTCTTTCCATTATCAAAACTTATCAATATGAATAATATATGTGATTATAACTTAACTACACTTCAAAAATATATTACCTGAGCATCATCAGCAAATTTCTTTTTTGCAACTCTCTCCAGACTTTTTTTCATATTAATTTCAGATTTCTTTAAAATTTCATCACTTACATCAACTAAAATTACTTCATGACCTGTTTGAGCTGCTACCTATATAAACATTAAAAATAAAAAAAGTAAATATTTATATTCGTAATATTAATAAAAGTAATGATTAATATTCCAGAATGTTATAAAATATTCAAAAGTATTATATTAATTGATACTAATCACTAAATTCATAGATATTTATTTCATAAACAAAAAAAAAAAACATCAAATATAGAATTTAAGTGAAATTTAATAATATGGGAATAACTCTCTCTAAAGAATCAATATTAAAGCCAAACAATTGTCAGATTAAATTGACCTATATTACTGCTACCATTAATAAATACTAATTTAACCTAAAGATAGATATTAGGTGCCACCTCTTATTAAATTTAATAATTATAATTAAATATTTATTAAATAATGAAAATAACTGACCCAGAATGGGACTTGAACCCATATCTGCATGTGTGACAATTGCAGATTCAAGTCCCACTCCAGGCCAATTCTTTCCTTCCAAAACCTTCTAAATTATTTAATAAATATTAATTAATTATAATTATTAAATTTAATAAGAGAGGGTGTCTAACACTACCTCTAGGCCAAACTGCATAACATTTAATAATAGCAATAATATATCCTGATTTAATCCGGCAATCGTTTGGCTTTAATATATCAGGTTTTGTTTGTACTAGAACCATTAGGAGACAAATTAGAACATGAAAACCTATTTTCCCCCATATTACTGTGGACATACAAGGTAAATGAACTACAGTGCTAGTGGTTAATTCCACTAGCATTGTCGCACATTCACCCCTATACGTCCACATCTAGCATTGTAGTACGTATGTGATACAATGCTAGTGATTACTTCCACTAGCATTGTAGCACATACATACTACGTCATCTTCTCATGTGCCATACATTAAAATAAAATGTTCTTTTTCATTTATGGCCATCTGATCACTCTACTTACAACCATAACAGGGTTCTACCACTTCCAGAAAAGACAAAATCCTGTGCAAGTCTTAAACCAGGCATGGCCAATATATGGCCTGTGTAATGAATTTATGTGGCCACGATTAATCTTTCAATATTATCTACTCAAGTCCAAATAGCTCGATAAAAAATTCTGACGCAAAAAAAAGAGGTCAACAACTCACTGTGCATTTAGAGTTAACGCTCCATCACAAATCTCTTAAGTACAGCATAGAATGTTGATAATGCATGATAATGTGAAAAATGTATCTGTAATCTCTATGTACAATTTAATCTCTATGGGATGAGATCTCGCACCACCTCAAAATCCTCCTACGGCAACCTCTGGTTCGGCCTGTGAAAAAAGTTTTCTTTCCAATTCGGCCCGGCAAAAACTATTGGCCACCCATCTTAAACCAATATAATTTGTTGGTCAATCTTTACCTATGTCGTCATGGCCATACAGTGGGGCCATGATGGTGCACATAGATAAAGATTAACCAATTTGGTCAAGGTATGTGCAAAATTATGTTCTTAAATAATGTATATACAAAAATAAAAATTTAATGAATTAACTGAAAAGGTAAAATGTAAGGTCAATTTCAATAAACCAAATAAAAGTATTACCTGGGCTATTCCAGAGCCCATCAAGCCTCCTCCAATTACAACAATATTCTTCATTGCTGCCTGGATTCTAGAAGAGGAAGAGAAATGTCTGCATCCTCTTATTGCTCTAATCATATTCATAATTTGAATAAAACTAAAATCTCTAAATTAGAAGAATAACAAAATAAATCTAATAAACGTTCGTAAGTTCATTGACCATCAGCTGGACCGAAGTTGCGACCCACCTCGTGTAGGGCGCCCTCTTAATGTCGAATTTTATTCGTTAATGAATTTTCCGTTTAAAATATTTTTAAAATGAAATTATTATAATTTATAATATTTTCTTTTAGAAAGAATTATTACATTTTAAGTTACGTATCACTTTCGTTGTAGAATATAGCTCGGCGCGTAAAATTAGATGATAGAAGCATCCTATTTTAAAATCTTCTCTACGGGATAATAGAAATTATAGTTAATTTATTAAAAATAATTCGAAATCCTCTTCTTATATACAAAAAACGTTTAATTATCATATTTTTTTTTAGAATATTGATTTTTCTTTTATAAAATAAATTTTCCGATAGAGGGCGAGTATATTTGTTTACATGTGGAAAAGTTTTTACAGTGATCGTAGCAGAAATGTCGTTGTTTAAAATCAGAACAGCAAATTGGAAATTTTCATTACATCGTCTTATGATGAAAAATTGGCAAGTAAAACATAAAATGTTTTCAAATAATGATAAATATACTTTAATCAATATTAAAGTCATTGTCCATTTAAATATTTTTACATAATTATTATATAATTATTCTCATATAAAAACGGTTTGATAGATCCTAAACAATATTGACATGTGAATCCAATCTGTTAAGGTAAGATTTACCCACCAAATGAGGGGGTCGCCACCCCCCAAAGGGTAGCCCTCCCCCATACGAACAATAAATGTCTAATGAACCACCCACCTACGCGCGACCCTTCGCGAAATATAAGACCCTGAAGATTCGCTTACGTCATATCCGGTCATGTGACATCATGGTCAAAAGGCAGTCTACCATGCGAAAAAAAAAATTTTAATGCGCACTCGCAAACACCTTCCTTAGGTCTCTCTCTCCTCGCGCTTCCCCGCTCCGCCTTCGCCGTCGCCATCTGTCCCTTCTGCGCCTGCCCGCAGTCCACGTCACCCACCTGAAGTCATCCGTAGTCGTCGTTTGATCTTTTGGTAGAAGATACACTTTTACTAATCTTTTTAATGAATAATTCATGAATGTTTGAAGTTTATTCATTTTCTTTTGTGTTATGAATATCATGGTTTTTTTCTGTTTTATTCAGTGACAGAACTACAATGGTGCGGAGTGGTTTGGCCCAACTGGGGCCGGGAGCCAACGGGTCGGATGTGTCGAGCAAAACACCTACAACTCTGGTCAGGGATTCTTTTTTCAGTCAAGAGCTAAAGGCTTTTTTTGGGAGATTGCAAGTTCCGTCTTTTGTAGCATGAGATAGGAGTTTGTGTTAAAATTTCAAAGAACCCAAAGTGAAGTTGATTTGCCTCTGATTTTATTATACATTAAATTTCATATTTCTGTGTTTAATATAATAATAAATTACACTAGACTCTTGCTAATGAGGCTGTTCCTTGCACAGAGATGTGTCAGATTTACTGGATTATTGCTAGTGTATATGCCTAAAGCCTGCTTAGAGACAAAGAGTGATGTGATCCTTTGGTACTGATTCTGTCTGGAAGCAGGCAGGCAAATAATATGGCAAGCTGACATGCAATAATGTATACAGAAATGAAATCTGAGTAAACAGGAAAACAATATGTAACATGATTAGCATTTTTGTGGAAATGGAAGTGCATAGGCAAACACACATGCCTGATAATTGAGAGACTTATTAAGGATAAGTTTAGCAAGAGTATCATAAATATATAATCCAAGTTGGATCCTACAGTTTTTAAACTTTTAGATTTACTGCCTGATATATTATAAAATTTAAAAGTATTATTTTTAGATTATACTGAAAACCAGTTAACAAAAAGGCCAATTTTTAGAAAAGTAGTCTTTTTGGGTACTTACGGGTTAAGAAGATGCCAGTCGGAAATAGCGTTTTTTCCAAATAATGTAATTTTTTATTTGTCAAATTTAATACAATTGTTAAATCAAACAATAAATTACGATTTATAAAGATATAACAAAATTTCAAAAATTCTAATAATAAACCACTTGAATATGCAAATTGTTTTGTAGTGTATACAGCAAATATGGCAAATAGGTGATATCTACAATCAACCTAATTGATTTTTTTTTATTTTTACAACCTTATCATTAAATTTTCTTCTTTTAGATTTAAATTTACTAGTCTATTGTTATTTTGATATTTTCATTCAAAATCGCGACTTTGATCGCTATTTCCGACTGGCGTCCTCTTAACTCATAAATACCATAAAATTTTATATTATGTTTATCTGCTTCAAAAATATTAATAAAAAGTAAGCTGAACTTACAGTATTTAAATTAGACAAATTAATAGACCAATTAAAGTAATGCCAATCTTTTCTGATCTCAATCTGAGCAATGCTAATTCATACCAATTGAAATAAATTAATCAATATTTAGGAGATTGCTTCACTTTGCCAATTAGCCATCAAATTAAGTAAAGGCAGTTAAGGTGTCATCCTACTACTCTAGAAACCTGAGATTGAACATGGACAGTCAGAAAATCTCAGAAATTTTTTAGGGAACCCCATCTCGCTCCACTCAATCATCCCCATTGTGGGCTTGGCCAAACCCATGATGGGTATGATTAAAATGCTATTAGTATCTACAAGGCATAGAATTAAAAATGAAAAACCAATATCAATTTAAAAATGAATTTGGTAAAGCTTCCATTTTTGTCTATCATTTTTTAGATTCAAGTTCCATTAGTGATATAGAAATTTTAAATAATTTTTTTAATAAAATTTGCAATCTTTAAAATAATGTTGTCCAGTAATAATTAGTAATTATATATAAATACAGTGGTACCTCAGGATACGAATGCTCCAGCATATAAAATTTTCAGGATACGACACGAAATTTGAACATAATTTTGCTCCGTTGTATAAACAAAAACTCACCATACAACGTTACATTAGTTTGCAGCGCCATTTTTTATTCACTCTGTTCATTGGTCTCAGTCTGCGTGTTTGCTTCGTCGTGGAAGGATCTCGCTCGATAAAGAAAATCTCGAGGTATTATCGGAAAGTGACTGATTTTATTGAAAAGAAACATCCCGAAAAGGTTCACACTAGACATATTGCTGCTTAGAGTAATGACATTTGCCTAATTCATTTTAGAAACATTTTCAAAAGTAGGCAAAGCCAAACCTCTTTGGATAGATATTTTACCAAGCAACCTCTATCCAGTGAAAGTGCTGGTGGAAGTGAAGGAAAGATGGCAAAAAGCAGTGAATAAAAAATTTAAAAAAATATATATATATATAAAACAGAAAAGTTAAAAAATCAGTGTTAAGTTATTGTTACATTATGTTATGTAACATAACTTACATTATGTTATGTAAGTTAAGTTTTAGTATCATTTCTTTTCTCCCTCTCTTCCGCCACCAATTTACACCTCCACCGTCATCTATCCTCAAAGGTAAAGTACAAATAAAAACTACATTTTTTTATCAATTATTATTCTATTATGGTTATCTATATATTTACAACTACAAAATGCATTTTTCAATGTTTTTCTTACTATAGTTATTTTTTTTAATGTACTACTTAGCTTTAATTTGAGTGTTTTTTGTGTTGGAATGAATTATTTGGTTTTACATGTAATCATATGGGGACAAAATAATTCATCTTACGACATTTTCATGATACAATCTCAGTTTCAGAACGGATTAATTTTGTATCCTGAAGTACCACTGTATGTTTAATTTTCATTAATCTATTTATTTTTTCTAATAGTTCAATTTCACAAACTGGACTCAGATTTCTCATGACTTTTACAAGAGAAAATTCAAGACATTTGTATAATAAATGTGTCCTTAGTAGAAAACTATTGTTCCCTTGTAATTATGAAGTTTGTAAGTATTAAATTATTTCTAAGTATTAATAGCTTCATAAATTTTGAAATGATGTCTATAAATTTTTTTTTAATTAAATGTAATTTTACATCAAAGCTTATCTTATTATTAAAAATTATTTTAGATCAAATATAATTAAAGATTTCTGTTGAAATGTAAATAAGTAATTTTCATTGTAATTTGGTAAATTAAACTTATTGGAATTTCATAAATTTCCAATCGACTATTGCCATCCGCTGAACAGCTTAATAAATTTATTTTAAATAAATCCTCTACTCCCTTGGTAATACTTTATTGAAATTACATAGTTAATTTTAAAGAATGGATCACTGTAACAGAAAGATTTACAAATTATTATGGGTTACATAAAAATAAGATATAAAACTGAAAAGTTATGGTAACTACTCTCTTTCTTTTTTTCCGTGTTTTTTTCACAAAGTTTAAAAAAGTATATATAGGTTTCTGAACTAACATCTCAAATCGACAAGGTCATTTCTAATTAAGACTTAAAATTTCCAATTTTAAAATGAATTTGTACATATTCATAAAAGAGAGAAAGTTAAATCTTTGATTAGAGTTTGTAGTCTGTTCTTTATACTAGGAAAAACTGTTTAGTAAAACTACTTTTGGAACAGTTAGTCCAAGTGTATAATTATGAGTTTTTCTCTTATCAAAGTTTTTGGAGAAGGTATGCATGTGAGGCAAGTATCCAAGTCTATTGCTGTTGATTTGGCCTCACTATATGCTGTTTTATTACCTGGTATACCTTTGTGACCGGAAACATCTACAAAGTTAATCCTATCATATATTTCTTTAATTCTATATTGTAAGTACAGAATGTTTTCTTTTTTAATATTTGGATTTACTAATGATTTTAATAACAGCTTGAGAATTCACTGTAAGCGTTAATTTTTTTAGTTTGACCTAGGAATTTTAAAATCCATTTAACATCCTGAAAAAAGCATCTTTCTTGGCCTGATATATTGATGTATAAGAATGGTAACAATATCTCAAAATGTTCCTAAGATGGTCAGAGTTTACCTCAGTATATATACACATGTACTGGAGTCAACACGCACACATTCTTAGAGCCATCAGTATAAATATCTTTGTCTACCTTAAATATATTTACTACAAAACCTCTGTAATTTAAATATATTCTGGAAATTATTTTATGCAGTGAATTGGTGTCGAACAGTTGTAGACACATCTCCATTGGTGATATATTAATGCACCAATGGTGATATATTAATGCACCAATATTAATGCAATATTTAATAATAAATTCATATGAATAGTGTTGATATCATTTATTCTTATAAAATAATGCAATACTTGTTCTTCCATATATAATGGCTACAGTAAAATATGACAGCCAATACCAATGATGTGTAAGCATTGCTTTACATGATTTGTTTTCTTAATGCAAAATGCCTCCATGCTGATAGGAAATGTTCTGCAGTAGTTTTTCTATATATTACATGCCCCAGCTGGAAGCAGCATAAAACTTTATAGGCTGTTTATGATATTTGATATTTATTTGATAAATAAATATCAAATATCATAAACAGCTGTTATTTGATAAATAAATATGTATGGTTAAGAAGAAAAAACAGATATCACAACCACTAATACACTGTCAAGAGTTATAGATTTACACAAATGGTCATTCCAAGTCCATTTTTTTACCAAATGTTTTAAATTTATATATTAAATGTTAAATCATTAAATATTCAACAAATGACAACATTGTTCTGTAGCTATGAAATCATTGGTGAATATTTATTGACAAATTTAATGGTTTTGTTTGTATGTATTTTTTAATAAATTAATTAGTAAGATTATATAATAATTATAACAATCTTACTAGTATAACAGTAAGCAGGAGTTGTGGGTTCGAGTCTCGCTTCAGGTCAATTCTTTTCTTCCAGAATATTCTAAATTAGTTATCTCTAGTGACAAATTATTTAGTAATTAATTAAATATAATTGCTGAAAAGTAGCCCAATATAATCAAGTGGTTGTTAGGCTCTACAAATTTATTGGGTTTTGTGATGTTTGTTTATGTATATAATAATTATTTTTAATCCATAATTTGACATACTTGTATATCTTAATTCATGTTTAGTATAATGAGACAGACAACATTAATGTTTTATATATGTCTAGAAATTAAAAAGAATAAATTGCAATATAATAATAATATATTTATTACGTATTTAGAGTTAGAAACCCTGTTATGGGGAGAAAATATTTAATACATTAGCATTTTTACAATCAAAACAATGCAATATATTTAATTAAATCATTTTCACATATTAACTACCATAATTGAATTAATTCCTGTTTTATATTTGTAATCTGACCAGATTCTTTAAGTTAAGATGGATCTCTTGTTGCAAGTTTACACATATTATTTCAAGTACAGTAGAGCGTCGATTATCCGAATCAATTGGGGACTGGGGTTGTTCGGAAGATCGATGTTTCGAATAACCGATTGTGTATGAAAAAATATATTCATTTATCCCATCTTGACATTTTTCTCCGTTGTGTGTCGCTTTGCGTTGAATTTTCGTCGATGTTAAGCCTAACGAAGACTATTGTATCGTTAAAAATTATTGTTTTATTTTGTACAAACAAAATAAATATATTGAAAAATATAAAAACAATAAAAAATTATACTTCAGAAGTTAATTTAGTATCAAAAACGTAAAATATTTGAGTAGCCCAAGACATAGCCAGAGATTGCAGCGCCACGGCACTGGCGAAAATTTAAATTTACCGACTGGAATTCTTTCGGATGATTGACTTTCGGATAATCGACGCTCTACTGTACTTTATATGTTTCATGCTCTCCACAGAATTTTTTACAATCTTTAAAAATATATTTTAATGAGAATTCTTAAGAATTGTACCAGTAACAATGATATACTGAGAAATCTATTAGCAAATCTGACTAGCTATTCTAGAGTACTCATAGAACTCTAGCTCTGCTAGCTCCTTGCTGTTTGACTGGTCAGAGTCGAGCAGTTGTTTGGCTTACCCACAAACTATGATTATTGATTACTTTCTTACACAATGGTAGTGTCATCAACCTACTCCTGCTACGTGGTAGAGAAGTCGGCTGAATTTGCTACATATATAATGTTATTTATAAATAATGAGAATTTATTCAATTTTAATTGAATTAACAGTCATTCTATATTTTATGTTGAGACAATTTTCTTTGATATATACTTGGATTCCAATGAAATATTTGATTATTTTTGATACCATGAATGAGATTAAGCCTGAGAATTTTGAATTTTGATTATTATTGAATTACAAAATGCAATTTCCATCAAGAGTGTATTGTATATCCATATTTCCAGCTTCCTCTGAATCTTTAAACAACTTGTAAAAAATTCAAAAAGACTGTAATTTTTTAATAAACTTTATCTGCCAAAGTCTATTTGTTGACACATTATTACTAGACTGTTTAAGTATGAATTGATGAAAAAATCTAATATTTTCATCTTTATTCTGTTTCAATCTATAATGAACTTTTATAAATTTTTTTAAAATAGAATGGGAAAGATCAATAACTATTTATCTCACAACAGAGAACATGTCCATGTACTATTCTCTCTATATGGAACAATCTTTAAAGAAAGGTCACATGATATCATTCTGTATCATATAGAAAATCTAGTCCCCAAATTGAACTAGCATAGTATAAAACATTGAAGAATTTATTAATGAATTGTATAATTTCATATGTAAATATATATTAGAAATTTTCAGAGAGAATCATAGATAAATTACATTATTAATTAATAACACAACTTTATTGTTTAATGTATTTACATGAGGTTTAAAGCTTCCATTCCAAGAAAAAGACACATTTATGAAGTTTATCTCATTTATCAATAGTAAAAGCTGACAATCAAGATATAAACTTTTCTTGGTTTCTGAGATTTTGACATTGTTCCTGAATTCATAATTTTATCAATTCAGTATAAATTTAATAATTCATATTTCATTTGAATTATATTATTTCAATCATAACATTTTTTCTCAATTTCAATAAAAAATACTACATTTTCTCTTGCTTTATTTCATAAAATGCATTCATGGTACTTTATTTAGTATATCATTAATATGAGTATAAGGATATTTTTAATGAACAACAATGTTGCTCTATGAAATAAAACATCGTTACACTATCCATTTTCTATTCACTCTTAGTGCAATTAATTAATAAATTTTCTATATAATTGTGTTTCCAGGAATTTAGGAGTTCAATTATAATTAAATATATATATTTCATTTTATAATCAATTAATAAGCAAACTAACAAATAAATTTGTTGTTTTATATTTGCAAATATTATATTATACCTAAGAAATATTATATTATACTCACCAATTCATAAATAATTAATACAAGAATTTTTCAGCAAGATCAATGTTTATACAAACTCAAGAAACACCAAATCCAAACAGTATGAAATTCCTTCCTGGAGTAAAAGTTTTAGAATCTGGAACTGTGGATTTTCCAAATGCAATGTCAGCGCATACATCTCCTCTAGCTCGACAATTATTTAGAATTGATGGAATAAAATCAGTATTTTTTGGCTCCGATTTTATTACGATAACTAAGGTTTGTATTCATTTTATATATTTAAGTTAATTCTTTCAACTAATATTTAAAGATATAAAATTATTTTTATATTAATGTATATAATTAAATATTCATTAGAAAGATGACGAAGTTGAATGGAAACTTCTGAAACCAGATATATTTGCTGTTATTATGGATTTTTTTGCAAGTGGACTTCCAGTTATGACAGATGAACAACCACCTGAAGATACAGGTAATTTCTGAATTAACTTTTTGATAATATAAGATGTTATTTTATTTAAATACATACAAAAATATAGTTTACAAGGTATTTATTATTTTCTAATAAATTTAAAATTACAAATATTATCTTTTGTTTCCTCTTCTATTAATCCATTATTTACATAATTCGAAGGATCACTATGTAACATAAGGAGTCAACATATTTATTTCCAATTAAACATTTAAAAATTGTGAAAGATTCCGAAAAATATTTAATCAAAAATAAATATGGTAACCCTTGATATACTGTATGCAGTTAATTAGTTTTGCAATTATTCCATATATATCAAAGTTAATAATCAATGGGACTTCTATTAATCCATTATTTACATAATTCGAAGGATCACTATGTAACATAAGGAGTCAACATATTTATTTCCAATTAAACATTTAAAAATTGTGAAAGATTCCGAAAAATATTTAATCAAAAATAAATATGGTAACCCTTGATATACTGTATGCAGTTAATTAGTTTTGCAATTATTCCATATATATCAAAGTTAATAATCAATGGGAAATAGATTAATTCATGAATTAAGTTATTAAGAACTATAATTTTTACATTTATATTCTCTTGGGCAGAATAAAAATGTGTGAAGTGAAGAAACATTTATTGAAAAATTGTAAATATATGTATTTTTAAAAAGGATGTGTATTAGTTATAACCTATTTACCAAATGTCTTAAAGAAAAAGCCGACGGAAGAGGGGCGTATGCCCAAAATGCATATTGGTGTGAGATATTCCTGAATAAAGAGTGATGTTAAAGATGCCCAGTGTCTACCTATATACCCAGTTGTGAAGTAAAGAAAGAATTAAAAGAAGACACAATTTCAGAATAAGTCAATAATAATTAATTGTATACATTGAAACATCAGCATAAGGGAATTTATGAGATGTACCTTAAAAAGAAGAGAACAACAGAGAAACAAACAAAAAAATATATATTAATTAAAGATTTTTGACAAAAATAATGTACACTAAGACCCTGCTCAACGCTGCCTCTCTCAACACTGATTCGATATAACAAGGTCTGCTCGAAGCCTAAAAAAAACTCAAAATTTACCCTGATTTAAACTATCACGACATTTCATTGATTCGTATATAATACAATTATTTGCAAGCACAAACCAATCAGCAAAAGGTGGCAAAAGGCATACTTTCTTTAAATCTATGTTTGTTTGGTGCAATTTGGAAAAAATATAACATCGTGGATGCCATAGGAAATGTCGACTTCGCTTGGCAAGAATTAACTGATACATGCACGAATGAAGTGTGGAAGAAGTTATGGCTGAAGGTATCCAAGAATTTTCAACAAGAAGAGCCTATTGTTGTATCGTTAGGTTGACCAAACTCAACCTAATCAATATAGCAGGACTAGAAGATATAGGGTACATTTACTTTTAGCTCCAATCTCGCCCCTATTGCGTTCAGCCTGTATACTTTTTGTTAGCTACCAATGAGCACAGAGTTTACTTTTCACACCTGTGATGTCATTGCTAGCATTCCTAGTGCGTTCGGTATGCTCGGAGAATTCACAATGAGCTTGGAGTTTGTTCAAAGATGGTGGTGTCCATTACTGTGTATACTTTTACGAGTGTGCTAGTATGACATCAGGCTGTGCTAGGTGTCAGCTCAGCAAGCTTGGAAGCTAGCAAAAAGTAAATGCACCCATAGACGAGCAGGATATTGAGGAGTTACAGCAGGTTTCTGATGAGAGCCTTACCAACGATGACCTTCAAGAACTGGCAGAACATGGAATTCATGTGGAACTGGAAAATAGAGATTCTGAACACGAAGAACTCAAAAAATTTCTCTACACATTTCCTTAGTAAAAGTTTGATAAGATAACCGAAATTGTTGATCAAATTGTAGTGAATGATCCAGATTTTGAAAGGAGTGCAAAAGCAAAACAAGGCATTTTTGATGCAATTTTCTGCTACCGACATTTGCTTAAGGAAAGAATAAAGCAACAAATGAAACTACATGACTTTATTGCAAAAGAACAAGAATTTCAGAAAAGTCAGGACCTTTGTCACAAAAACTAAACTATACATTTCTGTGTGTATATGTTTATGTGTTATTTAACATATATTATTATACAAATTAATATAAAAATAACTTAAAATTAAAGTAAAATTTGTTTATTTTTGGTCATGTGTTCCCCTATCCCTATTTACTCTAAGTTAAAATGACCTCGTTTAATGCTGTTTCATTTAGCGCTTTGTTGTCTAGGAACGCATCCTCCATGTTAAGCAAAGTCTTACTGTATATTAAATCTGAAATGTAGAGAATGATTTTCTATTAAAATGTAATTTTTAAAAATAAGTTTATATGATTCATTCCAGAATATATTATTTAATGGGCACATGAAACTATCCCACAAAATTATTTTAATTCAATTACAATATATTTAAATTGAAATCTAATTATGTTATGTTAATGGATTATATTGATATTATCATATTAATATGATATGATAACATTAACATAATTATACAACATTATGGATCAACACAGTATAATTAGATTTCATTTTGCAGTTTAAATATTTATTCAAAAAATTGTGAATATTAATAATAAATTTCATTTGTAATTAATGTATATTATAAAATTAGTTTTATTCTACAGACTTCTCATATTTCTCATAAATTATTAGCAAAAATTTATTTTAACAATATACATTCTGTTTTTATATATTCTATTTTCAAAACTGATAAATACTTAAAAAAATAATAATAAGTCATTAGCAATAATTACAAAAATCTAATCAAACAAAAGTATTTAATCATATTTAATCCATTAACTTGACAGAGAATGTAATTTTGATTTGACATTGCAATCACGTTGCTAATGAGAAAAGTCTATCAAATTTTTAATTAATAATTTATTGTAACTTTTATTAATTAGAGTTATAAAAATAATACATTTTTTCTAAAATTATTTTGTTTTCATTAATATAATGACAACAGCAATTGTATATTGTGAAATAAATTGTGTTTAAAATAATATATATGTGTTATATAGATGATACTCTTATACCTAAAATTTAAGAATGCCTTCTTTGTTTAATAAAAAATTTAAAAGTGTGGTAGATTTTTTATAAATATGGAGATGATATAAAGATACATTCATATAGAACTTCTGAAAAGATAAGTATATTTAAATAAAATATACTTATCTTTTCAGCAAATCTTAAAATGAAACTTAAAACTTATTGTAATACAGTAATTTCATTAATGCTAAAAGAAAAAAATAAATACAGTATTTAACAAATCTTTATAAATTATAAAACTGAATAAATATATCACTTATAATATCTTATTTTCATCATATAAAAAAAATTAAAACTAGTTATCTTTTAACAGTAANCTAATAAATCGTTGTTATCCTGTTAAAGTGGTGTCATCTTTACTCGTATATCGCCGGTCATCTTACCGACGCACCCCTCCCTCCTCCCCTCGACCCGAAACATTTAATCCCGTTACTGCGGGAACGGTAACATTTTAATCCATCCTGACCAGTGAGAAGGGTTTAACGACCTGTTGCCGGATCGGGAGACCTACATCCTCCCCGGCGGTTCACAATAGTGATCTTTTGAATTAATTATTTAATTAGCAATTAAATAAAATGATTTTAATATGTATTTATATTTCAATTAAATTAAAATTTTATTGTTAAACAAAAAGTAATTACATAAACTTATTTGGAGTATATTTTTTGTGTTAAATTCAAATATACAGTAAAACCTCTAATCTCAAATACCTCCATAAGTTGAACTGGATTGTGAGTCACAGCAAACATCCTACATAATACAATGTATTTTCGTACTTCTAAAGTCAAATAAAATTTTATGTATCTCAAATTCTCAACATTGTTCCTCCCTAAGTCAAACTAGTTGAACTCGGTGCCAACTAAACTATTAGTTCTGGAAATGAAACAGACTCTGTCATTAGCTCTCTTATCCATCTGTATTAAACACACTTTATCGGAAAACCCACCAGACCTGGTGGGAATATTAAAATTTGATGTAATATAATATCCAAAATTTGATTTTTGAATAAATTTAATATAGCATAGAGAGATAATTTTGTGATATACCTAAATTCATATTTATTTAAATCATTATACAGCTTCATATATTATTCTAATAATGATTCAAAAATTATCATGGTTTTAAATATATCTTAGAATTGCATCCTTTATTCTACTGCTTTGTATTTTGTGTCTGAATAAATATTTTTCTATGTTTTCATATACCTCTATATATAGAACTCTCCATAACTTGAACTAGTCATTTTTTGATCCCTTCAAATTCAAGACTTACAGGTCTTACTGTAAGTCTTGTATGTTCATTTATTTGTACATTAATATTTAATATGACTAATCTTGATTGCTCTATTTTATTATAAAAATAAAGCTTATCTTTCTATTATGCTTTCTATTTTTTAAATAATCTTGTATTTAGTGACATTTTTCAATGTATAATTTTTAAATTTTTTATGTATTACTATGAAATAAAATACTTTTTTCATGTCAGTTAATTTTAATCATTTTCAAAATTTTAATAGCTATATCACCTGATGATGATGAAACTGTAATAATGATTAAAGAACTTCTTGAAACAAGAATTCGGCCAGTTGTTCAAGAAGATGGTGGAGATATTGTTTACATGGTCAGTAATTGATTTATATCATTAGCATCAGATATTATATAAGGGGAGTCTGATATTAAAGGTACAGGCCAAAATTACACTAACATTTATGATTTAAAAAAATATTTAATACATTCCACAAAAACTACATAGTTTTGTTTATTTCTCGACATAATCACCATAAACATGAAAAGATATTTGATTACTTATATATGCCTTGCTGGGGTTTGCAATGGCCGGTTGAGTGCCTTGGGAGTTGAACGTTGTGGGCACTGAATGTGTCCCCAGCTGGCATTGTAATAACCGTTGATGGTTATATTGTTAGCTTATATGTGCTGGAAGAGGAGATTGGACTGAAGGTCCAGGTAACGTAATTGGCAACGCATCTGCATGGTAAACAGGAGTTGCAGGTTCGAGTCCCGCTTTGGGCCGATTCTTTTCTTCCAGTAATTCTAAATTATTATTTAAATTATTTAATTAATTTATAATTATTAAATTTATCAAGAGATGGCGCCTAACTCTAATGCCAAATTGTCTATTAAATTATTAGTATTATAGCCATTTCTAGCCCGATAATATTCGGCTTTGGTAGATGGATATCTCTATTATTTAATATAACTAAAATGTCTAAGAGCTTTAATGTCTTTTTTTTGCTCTAATGACATATCCCACCTTTCTTTTAGATCTTTTTCTGAAAAGATTGGACTTCTGAAGTTATTTCTTGTGGAATGCACAATGGATCTTTTAGGTTGAAGTACTTTTGGCTTTTGTCCCTCATTTGTACAGTCTATAATATTGAACACTTAGTCTGATATTCCTTTTGAAGAATTTCAGACCATTAAATAAATAACAACATGGTATAACTTAAAAAAGAAATATGAAGTTGCAGATCACAATTTTTGCTAAAAATAAATTTATCAAGTAATAGCTATCACAAGACACCAAAGCAGAGATAAGAGAATTTCATTCTGCAGGGTCCTCTTGAAAGAGCAATCTCTGTAATAAAATTCTAAAGAACAATATTACTACAGATTACTACAAATGCTTTATTGTAATAAGAAAGATCTTGTTACAGGGGGTTGGCTTTAGAGAATTACAAGAATACAATTAATACTCATTTAAACATGTTTTAAATATCCTATTACATAAAACTTAATAAACATAACATACCAATCATACAATCTACACTATCATATTTCAAAATCTTTAAAATATGAACAAAAAAGTTATGAATATTATACATCTTAGACAACAGAATTATTTCTAAATTGATTCTGAAATTTTCTTATTAATTTAAATCATAAGTTTCTTTTAATTTAAATTTACATTGCGCTTCAACAATCTTTGTACACTCAGTGAAAAAATAATAAATATTTATAAAAATGGTTGTAAATATCAAGATGAATTTGCCTACCCGCTGGCGGTAGAAGATTAATAAATTTAGTGATAATTATATCCATTCCAGGAGCTGTATTCATATTTAATTTACGAATTGATAAATCCAGTTCTTCAGAAGATTTGATATCGTTGATATTAATAGTCAATTATCTGATACTTCGTAATAACACAATCAATATGATACAATTCTTTCAATCCAAAGAACGAACTAACAGAAAATTGGTCTGATAAATCACAACTTAACACCTGAATTTCCAAACATAAATCTACTAGAAATACTGAACATATAAACAGATTGATAGCAGAGCTTCCCGAAGTGAATACATAATAAATTCAGAAGGCAAGACCTTTTCAATTCTGCCATTAAAAAATATATAGTTGAGCTTGAGTCGTTAATTTTAGAAAGTTATAACCCATTTTATTCTGTTTAACATCTTTGAATTTACGAATGTTTTAATTTATAACGTTTGGTCCTTTATATAGCAAAACCATGGACTTTGCAATACGAGCATTTAAATCTCCAGTTATAACAACAAAAAGAATAGAATTTCTCAAAATTTCGTATGTACAAAATACTTCAAAAATAGTTTTTGCTGTTGCTCGGGAAGTATATATACCAAAATTTTATCTGTCAGGTTATTTATTTCTAATATATTAATCAATAAATAAACAATAATGTAATTATTTCTTTTTTAGGTATATATAATTTCTTCCATTTTTCAAAATGGGAGACTTTTTAATTGTACGTATTATAGTGTAAACTTTCCTTATTATTATATGCAGCAGGCAAGAGACTTAAAATTTGAGTCTCCACAAAGCGTGAGTCTTGGATAGGAGTATTTAAATTAATAATATGTCATTGTGGAGTATTCTCGGAAGTAGTAAACGGGGTAAAAGAATCCAAGTATACCAGCTCCTCCAACACATAACTATACGTCAAAGAATAATTGCCCAACAGTATAGTATCACCTCAGAGTTTAGGATATTTACCTGCTTTCCTTAACTCGCTTAAAAAAGGAATTAATTGTTTTCGTCTTAATCTAGATCTTTTAGTGAGGTCCTGTGAAATTTGAGTTTCTTTCCATAGGTTCGATAGGTTTTGCTGTTTCATTTTTATAAAACTCGAATAAATATAATCTCTTATTTGAGGATTTTTAATAATTAATTTAATTGTTGGATACTGTGATTTAGTTATTGGAATAATCGCTATTAAATCATCCATTGTAACTTCATGTAATTCAAATGATTCTTTAATAAGATTAAACACTTCTAACTTGGTAGGACTGGTTTTACTAGGATATCTATAAAACATTATATTATTGCGATGTTGCACATTAACCATATTGTCCATTCGATATTGCATACTTTCATTTACTATTTTCAGATTAGCAATTTGTTGTTCAAGATTAATTATTTGGCTATTCATTTTTTGATTCTGATCCTTAGTTTCTTGGATACTATTACGAATCTGGACCAAATCTTCTTTGATAATAGTCATTTGACTTAATATTCTCGTATTAGAAACATTAATTAATTCAGAAATTTTATTCCATAGTGTCAAACCCGACATATCAGATGAATTTTCCAATTTTCCTGGTGAAGAAGATAAAAAATCAAATGACTCACCTGATATTTGTGAACTTAGAAGTGATGTTTCAGGGTTCAAACCTGCATTTGCAGAGGGTGGTTCAGGAGAAGTTCTTTCAACGTGTGCATTGTAATCTGTGATTAACCTGATATTAGTGGTCGAAGCAGTTTCCTTTCTGCTAATTGATTTTGCCTTTTGACGTGGTGGTCTTCCTCTTTTAATTGGCGAACATTGCATATTAATTATATTGATAAATTTTCCAACACTTATAATATTACCACACAGCACAAACAAAAAAAATTTGACGTAAAATTATTTGACAGGATACGTTCTTTACCTGTATTTGAAGTGAGTAGTAAAACGCGCCAGCAGCTTCGGCAGACAGAAGCGCCCCCCCTAAAGAACAATATAACCACAGTTCATAATTTCAACCTCATTCTAAAGTATGGAACTGACACAGAACTAACTCCATGCTCAAAGGCAATACTTCTTATAAAAGCATTAATGTCAAGAAAAGCAATAAGTAGAAAATAGACAATTTAGAAAATCAAATTGTGTCAAACAATTTCACAAAACTTGTTGGGTTGATAAGCAAACTGAAAAGAATAGAGAAAAAAAGACATTCTATACAAGAAACTGCTTAAAATATCTAATGTTTTTAAAATAAAATACATTATACTAATTAGACGAAAGACTTTAGTTTCAATGTATGATTTTCTGTCAGGAAAAGAATAAATTAAATTAATCAATTTTCAGAACCAAAAGTACTGTACAAGTATATAGCCAAAAAGAATCAACTTGATGGCAGTTAAGGCATCAACCTGCCATTCTGGGGATCCAGGAAGTTGAAAAACACTAGAAATTTTTGGGGTGATCTGTTCCAATATGTTAGGCCCTGCCCTTCACTACTCTCATTGTTGGTCTGGCCAAATCTAAAATGGTATAATTCAAAAAGCCCTCTTAGTGTCTACATGACAGGAAAAGAAAACAAGATTAGTAAATTTCAAATAAAAGAGAAATTAAAATAAAAAAATCAACTCCATTTTACAAATGAGCTGGAAATATAAGCTACAATGGTCTATTTTATTTTAGCAGTAGAAACAATTTAACAAAGCAAGATCTGGAATATACTGTTTAATACTTTTATAAAAGATTCAATCAGAATGTTCTTTTATACACCACTGATATTTTTAGGATATAGCAACAATATTAGTTCTTTCCTTCATTTACTTGTCTTAATTTTCAAATCTTTTTTGCTTTTTTATGTCATAAAAGTTACTACTGTAAATCTTGTTCTCTTACATCTCAATTTCCCTAACACTATCCTATCCATCCTTTTTGTAATATATATGTTACTGTGAATGACTGATATCTGGCGAATGTCAGCATTCACACAGTCATTTCGTGTATGTATGAAATATTTGCTAAATATCATTATTTCTCGCTTATACCGGCAAATGTCGACATTCAGCATGCACTGATGGTGAATGTTAAATAAAAATATTTTTATTACGTTAAGACAAAAATGCAACTTTTTAATATGTCAAAATAGGAGAAAGCTTAAGTAACAGCACATGTAAATAAACTGTTGAACCTAAAACAAACAGTACGTTCTAAATCATTAAAGAATACAATAATAATACAATAATAAGCTTACATATAAATTATGTGATTAACGTTATACAATTTTATTTATTGCAACAACTTAAACTGTTATGACAATTCAAATTGCACAAGAGTCCCTTGATTTACAGCTGCATTTATTTGTGGAACACTTTTTTTTTTTTTTTTTTGCAATGACAGCGTGTATAGCCTTGCCCTCCACTTTTCGAATTAGCTGCAGCTGCTTCTCTCAGCGATATTTCTTGAGAAAAAAATCTCATCTATGGAAAGTAACTTTTCTTTACAAATTATGAACTGATTACTTTATTACATGATTATGAACTGATCTGTTAATGGTGTCTTTTATTCGGATATCACTAATGCCTTACCGACGATCCCTCTTATCCTCCATCACTCAATGTGACAAACTGATCCCCAACTCACAGGATCAAAAGAACAAAAATGCCATCCAGTGACAAAGTGGTTACCACCAAACCATTGCCGGGAAAAGAGGTACGACCTTGTCCTACCTCCGGCTACCCACAAAGGGTTTGGCGACAGACTGTCACCTCTCTGTCGACATTGGCTTCTCGGGTATCGTTTTGACCTCCATAAAAGCTTATCTGTGCTTGTCGACATACACCGGCAATTGTTCAAATGTAATATAACCAAATATTTGGCCTTTCACCGATGTATTTTGTATGTGTCGACATTCACCAGAGAATATCAACATTTTCTAATTTTGGTCTTTCACAGTAACATATGTTTTATATTGAAGATACAAAGATTTCTGTTATTTATCTAAAGCAAATGTAGATAACACAATGTTCTCACTTACATCTTTGAGACAAAGAAAAAAACTCTTATCTTAGCTAGCTTTATGCTCTCCATTTAACAAAGTAATAGATAAGAGCATGCATTCCTATCATCCTAACAGGATGAGTTATATAAGAAACGAAACTCTTCTTAAACACCAGAGGAAAATATACTTTCACAAAAACCTTCATAACTCCAGTGATACTTGCTTTATACATCAGCGAAGGATGAGTTATGAGACAAGATCAAGCATGCTTTAAAGGACTTAGGATTAGGAAAAATAGCTTTATGCAGAAAAATTACAGATTAAGAATTATGAAACAGTGGTATAACAGAATGGAGGAACATTCTAGTTTACCTGCATGGAAGTGGGTTTCAAAGAGAAAACCAATAGAAGGAAAGCAACAGTATTAATACAGATGACAGAAAAAGTATGACTAATAACTAGAGAAAAGTTTGAAGTAAGCCAATTTATTAAAAACTGATTCCCAATTGCAAATAGCTATTAAACTCAATTATCTAGCAGTGGTCTATTGTGATTTAGAATAGATTATTAAAGTCAAATAACTCAATAATTATATTTTAATGTATATTTTGTTGTTTTTAATGACCTGAATGAAAAAGTTTTTATCACAGGAATGTATGAAAGTATTTTGACTAAAAAAAGTGGTTTACTTTAGTTACATGTGATTAGACTGATGCTAATATACATATTTTGCAGATGCACTGAATAGGTATAAAATAAAATAAAATGCATTCAACATATTTTATTGCCTAATTATAAATAAAATAAATCTTTATTTATTAAAGGGATTTGAAAATGGTATAGTGAAACTGAAAATGCAAGGTGCATGTACCAGTTGTCCCAGTTCTGTTGTGACCTTAAAGAATGGGGTACAAAATATGCTACAATTTTATATTCCAGATGTAATGGGTGTTGAACAGGTTAGTAAATAGTAAAAAAGTAATTTATTATATAACTATATCAAATCTTGTTTTATAATAAAAATAACAAACAATTATTATTTCAGATAACTGATGAAGTTGACGATAAAGCTCTGGAAGAATTTAAAAATTTTGAAATTAAAATAAAGAATAACAAACCTGATTGATTACATTAGTTAATAATGTATAGTAGTATATAATATATTAAAGTTACTATGTAAAATTAATAAATTATACAAATTTAAAATAAGAATAGTTTGAGTATGTCAAGTTTAATTAAAAAGAGTTTTTAATACTAGAAACAACTTAGGGGCTATCCATAAATTATGTCTGCATTTTTCTTGAAACTTTTACTCCTCCTTCCCATCTTGTCCAATTTTCTGCAACCTTCTCTCATTTGGATGTCCAATAGAACTCTATCCCCCTTGAAACCTTTATCACTATGATTTATACATACCATAAGTAGAAATTCTGAAATAAATGTAATAAAATGTGCAAACTCTATAAAATTAATGAAATAAATAGACATCAACTGAACTCAACCCCCCTTCCTCTTGTTCAACTTATTGTAGTCCCTTCCCTCTTCCAGTGTGGATGTCATATATAGAAGCACCTTATCAATTATTTCTAATATTTAAAACTTTATATTTCTCTCCATAATCTGGCCATAATTTTAATTTTTGATTCGTTAAAAAACAATTATTTTTATTTAAAAAGACATAATGAATAATTTTTACATTAAATATAAAATGTGTTCACTTATTATAGAAAATTTTTTCAGAAAATTCTCATTAAAATACATTAAATGCATTGATTAATGACAACAAATGATGATGTATTGTTTTTATATGAAATGGAATAAAAAATATTCATAATTATTTTATCCAATCTGCTTGTATTGCTATTAACAGTTAATGTATTTATTGATATTAGTGCAACATGATTCAGGATATAATACAAATTTGTAATCTAATAAAAACAAAAAACAGAGTTGAACTGGTAGCAAAATCAGTTAATGCACAGACATGATAAATTTTTCAATGAATGGAAAAATGGGTGGTGGAACTGTGAGAGGCATCTTGCACTTGAGGAAACCAACTATGTAAAGGACTCGGACTCGGAGCATTTAGTTTGTTTTAAAAGAATATAAATGCACAATCCTTTAGAAGAATAAATTATTTGTGTGAACACGAGATCATGCAAGAGAAGCCTCGCAGTTTCCCCACACATTTTTGATGTCCAGCTGTTTCCCCCTTTATTTTTAGTAGACGAAATTTTGTACTAATTTGAAATGCTCTACAACTTTGTGATTTAAACTGTGTCACTGTCTTTCATAGAAGCCAAGATAAGATTTTGGGTGCATGGTGACTAGCCATTGAATAGCCCACTACTGATTACCTATACTCATGCATTTGTATTTAGATATGTATCAGAAAGAAGATATAGCTTGGTATAACATAATCAGTTTCTTCAATGTTTTTAATGCTAAATTTTATAATGTATTATCTCTTTGTCAATCCAATTTACAGCACTATCCATGTAAATATAAGACTTAGCCATATCAATAACTAATATTCAGGTTTTGTTCTATATCTAACTTTACATAATAATACTCCACTCCTTTATCAAGTGTCGGTATTTGTATAAATTATATTTGTAAAGCGGTCACAAATCGCGTACTTTGTAATTGTTAAAACATTGTGTTTATATCCCCTTTGCTGTACACACTCACCCACACGTGCAAACTTATCATGTTTGTTTTTATACTGTTTACTGAACATACTTTGTCTTGTCACTGTATTTTTACTTGTTCAACAATTATGATGCAGACGTTCAATGATTCGACACTTTCCTTCAATCTTTCCCTCCCTACTTACTATCACTTTCTCTTCTAATTTCTTAGAGGTAAAGTCTGTGCACATACAGACACTCTACTCTTTTAATGTAATGTAATACACTGTATACTGTAAACATGTAATTTTACAAAACAAATAACAAGATATAAAACTTCAGAATATGTTTTCAAAATGATTGGTTTTAAGCATTTTATTCTGTACAATACTTATAGCTTTGTGGATATTTAGTACAAAATTACAACTTTGATTTTATTTTACAAAAATCAGTGGAACTTTTTTAGTTGAAAACTATTGACAAATGTTTAACAATTTTATAACAGATTTTAAAATAATTTGTTAAGAAACAAACAATAAAAAAAATTAAATGTTTTATTTACAATATGGAAGACACTTTTTGTTGTAATCAAAAAAAATTACAAAAAAATATATATTATTATTTGTATAAAGAAATGTTCCAATTAGTTTAACATTTAAATAATATAAATGAGATGTTTACCTTATACTTAATTTCAAAATTCTTTAATAGCAGATACATTAAATAAAATATCAATAAACTATGGCAAAATTTTAGATAATTTTACTGTAGTAATGAATTTATAATTATAATTCCAGGTGACGCTGTAATATTCTTGATTCTATCTCATTATGAATTTTATTTACCTACAAATAAAATCAGTTTTAAGAAATAAATGAAATTCTCTTAACAGTTTTTTATTTTAAAAATGATAAATACCTTATAATTATAATCTTTTACACGTTGTTCTCGTTGCTTTTGAACTTCAGATTTGTCTTCAACATATTTTTTTGATTCATGTCTTTCATTAGAAAAATCTAATTCTGCCTCCAAAAACTTCAGCTTTTTAACACGATGCTCGTAATGATGCAATTCTTCCTAAAAGAAAAAGAATGACATTAAGCATTTTTATAATTTATCTTTAATTGTATATTATACAAAATATTTCAAGACCTTCAGAGATTCTAATTCACTTGATGTAAAATCAGCTTTCTGAGCTAATTCCCATAATTTATTTACACGGCCCTCTTCAAAAATAATTCCTTTGCCTTTCAAAACTTTTCCAGCTAAATAATCATAATCTTGTCTAAGATCATGATATTGTTTTTTTAACATCTGCTGAGTATGTGGTGAATTCTTTTTATTAGTTTCCTCTCTCATTAATGTTTCCACCGAATTATCCATTTCTTCTAAAAATATCAAAGTTTAAAAATTATTATCTTGATACAAAAATTGTTATACAAAATATTAAATGAAAATTTACCAGGTGCTGAACTTGCAGCATCTTTATTAATTTCATCAAGTAAATTATGATACAAGTTTAGCTTTTCTTGATGATGTTGAAATTCTTCTTTCAGAGTTTTTAGTTCTTCATCTATAAAAAATAATTTTAATTTATTTCAAATTTTATTGTAAATAATACAAATTTTAAAATTTTCACAAAAAAAATATGTTTTAATGAAAATTTCTCCATTTGTAAGAAAGTCGGTTTCATTAAATTGTCAATTGTACTAAAGACATTTTCAATCAGACATTTGAATTCTACGTTAAATACATAATATATACAGGATATTTCAGTTAAGATATTTAATAAAAAGAATTAGCATACATTCTGAACCTTCCAAAGTTTACTAGTGACATGGCAAATGTCCAACTGATATTCTACTTCAGTTCATGTGTTGAGAAGAATTTGTAGCATCACATTGTCAATTACAGCACAAATTTTGTGTAATTCTTCTCAATTATGTATCAGAGTAGCATATGGGAGTCATGCAACAGTGATCCTCTCCAAATCCATCCTGTAGTGAAATCATTATCCAAAAATCTGTGATCATCATTGGAAAAGTAAAGAGCCCATCTTGTTGGAAAGTTGTTCCTTCATGAAGCTGAGACATGACATATTTTTATATCATGGCCACCAAGAAACAAATGATTGATGATTTTGTCCACGATCTCACACTAAACACAAGAATCCTGTTCATGTTCATGCACAATATGCAAATTTTCAGAATCAGATGCAGCAAATATGTCTGCTTACTTTTTGAGACATATGGAACATTGCCTTGTTTGAAAAGCATATCTGGTCTAGCAATGTGTTGTTGTCATCAATTTTGGACAATGCATTTCCACAAAGTTTTTCCATACTGACCTGTCTTTTGACTTCAATTGTTGATGCAGTTGAATCTTATACTGTACATATGTAAGCATAACCTTTATGGAGTATTCTATGTACTGTTGGTGGGATTTGTAGCTGCACACTAGTCTGTCAGATAGACTTCCTCATGCTTCTCTGAAATAATTATCAAATCCACGCAGCATTTTCCTTGGACATCTTACAATCAGCATGTTTACCAGTCATTGTCATCAGAACAAACATCCCATTTCATCTACCATCACTCCAAGGTTGTACTCATGATGAAAATGGCATTGGGTGTCAGAAATTTTAATTCCACATGCAAAAGAACCCAAAATACCTCTGTTTCAGCATCCACATGACAACTGATATCTCTCCAGCAATGCAGGACACAGATATCTTCTACACATGTGCAGCAAGCCAAAATTTGCTGAGTTTATAAATTTCAGAACTGCTCTTTGCACTGGCTTCCACCTTCTGTCATTAGAACTAGTACTTTGTACATCATGAATTTTTCTTTTATAATACATCTAAGCACTCTGTATTGTAAAAACATTCTCAAAATTGAATTAATCTCCAATAGACAAAATAAAATACTATAGTTTGAGCTGACTAATAGTAAACCATGAAGATTTCAAAATATAAAAAACAAATTTTTGTCTTCTGTAAGCATTGTATAGTCAGATCATTTATTAATACAGTAGAACCTCGAAAACTCGGCTCTCGATAACCCGGCACTCCGGATAACTCGGCCACACCCTGGCAAGGCAAAAAAATCCTTAGTTAATTAATTTTCATTATAGACAGCTTTATAAAAGTATAAAAGCTCTCATAATATTTTTCTGAGGTCTGTCTTATCAGATAAATTACTGTACACAGTGTATTCATTAATTTTCATTTTCATGTAGTAAAGGCTGTATGCCTTCATAAAGGACGTGCTTTTCCTTTGTTTAAGGGTATTTGGGCAGTTTATTCTCTGTTATATTCTCAAGTAAACAATACATACAAGTACAGTACAGTATTTTCTGAGGAAAAACGCATACTTATCCTTTTTTAACCCCATTCCCGATAACCCGGCATTTTCACAAACTCGGCCACCCTTCGGTCCACATTAGGCCGAGTTTTCGAGGTTCTACTGTAT